TCATTACATCAAATTCTCCTTGAAAAGAGAGCCTCTCAACTTCCTTTAACATCAAGCTAACCATTTTTTCCATAACATCAAGCCCTTTTTCGAATTTTTGGAGCAAAGCCCACAAAGACACAACCTTTTTTTATCTCAATCTATTTAATTAGTACTAAACATGCCCATATTCACATCTTACCTCTGCAACCCCTATCACTAAGAGCTGATTCGATTTTCTGATAGATCATAGGACTGGAACTAACAGGGAATGAACAATCCTCAGACGTCCAGAAGACGCTTGTCTTATCCCATGGAGAGAATTGAAGACTTTCTCGCTAAATTAGGGTTAGATTTATATGGATGTTTGTGAAAGTTCTTTTTTTTGTTTCATCATCAGTGTATCAGTTGAACAAGATCCAACGTAACAATTAAACATGATTCAGTAATTCGACAAAGTATATATCAAAAAGACTGAAAATCAAAGAGAGAAAAAAAAAATATTATTCGATTAAAAAACATTATGATATCATTAGCTGGTCATTAATAGAGAAAGATTATGAGTCCAATTCTTAACAGAACAAAAAAAACTACAATAATCTCAATTTATTAAGGCCCATTAAAAAATAATAGGCCCACGATGTCGTCCAAAATTATAAAGAAACTCCTTAATCCCTTAGGTTATTTGCTTTAAGCACAAACCCTAAATCAATTTTGGTCTCGTCAATTCCGACGATGTCTTCACCGGAAAAGAAGAGGCAGACGGAGCCATCTACCACGAACCCGCCACTTCCGGATGATTTTCTATTGAGCTGCCTCTCACGCATCTCAAGATTGTACTATCCGACTCTCTCCCTCGTCTCCAAGCGCTTTCGAACTCTCCTTGCTTCACCGGAGCTTTACAAGGACAGGTCACTCTTGAGCCACACCGAGAATCGTCTCTATGTGTGCTTCAGGTTCTATTCTCATCCTCGTTGGTACACCCGTTGGTACAACCTCTGCCGAAGAACTACACGAACCATAATCATTGACCCTAGTAAGAAGAAGAAGAACAAGAGTGCGAATTATACTGGTTATATTTTGCACAAAGTCCGAGTTCCAAGTTCTCCTCGTGCGCAGTTTTCGGGTCTTGTGGCGGTTGGTTCTAATATCTACAACCTTGTGAACGGCTCCACTAGCGTCAAGATTCTTGATTGCACGTCTCACACGTGGCAAACGGCTCCAAGCTTGCCTGTGCAGCTATTGTCACTTTCTACTAGCGTCGTTGATGGAAAGATATGTGTAGCAGGCAGAAGCAGCTACAAAGATGGCGATTTTGATTCCTTGATGAACACGTTTGAGGTGTTTGACACAAAGACGCAAACTTGGGATCCTAAGCCCATCCCTTGCAGCCTGACAGAATTCAAAACGTTTCAATCGAAAAGTGTTAGTATTGACGGAAAGTTCCACGTGGTGACTGGCACAGAGGTGGTTTCTTACAGTTCCAAGGAAGCTAGATGGGACCTAGTTGGACCGGGGATGACCCGAATGAGTGAATGTATGACTACATGTTCTTATTGCGAGATAAATAATGTTTTGTACTCTGCTTCTCCCGGAGGGTTCAGATGGTATGACACTAAGGTAAACATGTGGAAGCTTTTGAAGGTTTGGATTGGACATGGTAAGTTCTCTCGTGGTTCTTGTATTAGATTGGCTGATAATGGTGGAAAGATGGCGGTTTTTTGGGAAGAAGATCTTATACCTGGTGGCGGCGATGGGAAGAAGATTTGGTGCGCCGAGATTTCGCTTAATAGATGCACAGATGGCTTAATGTGGGGGAACGTTGAGTGGTATGATCATGTACTTACAGTCCCTAATTCACAACATCTCGTGAAGGTTCTTGCTGTTACTGTATGATGAATGATTTGTCTCTTGTTTCACTTCTCTAATCATTTCATGTCACTTTTTTTTATTGTTAAGCTTATTATTTTAGAGACCAAAAAGTTTCTGAAGCACGTTTTAAGCATTTGCTTTGAAAAGTATTTGATGATTATTTTATAGTTTTGGGTAATGGTTTGAACACATTCTTCTGGATGGAAGATTGGACGCCTCTAGGCCCTCCCTCTAGGCTTTCTCCGTCGCAGCATACGTTTCATTTTTTTTAATGATATTAACGTTCTTAGCACACACACAAAAAATAATTTTTGTACTTTTGGCTGTATCCATGGGCAACAATATTTCAGTTCATATAATGGACAATACAATGTGAAAAAATGTCTCAATGAAAGATGCACAAATATTTTTATTATGACTTGTAATTTCTTCAATAACTGTTTATTGATTTACGGCTGATTTAATCAATTTTCTATATCCACAACTTTTTCCATTTTGTGATGTTTCAACTCGTAGAAGTTCAAAGTCATTTTAAAACAAGACAACCCCTCTCTCTCCTTTTTTTTTTTAATCTCTTGCTTGCACAGTAAGAAATCTCATTTTTAAATACTCTCTCTTTTGTTTTTATTTTTATATTTTCTAAAGATTTCCCTTTTATTTTTCCCTTTTTCCATAAATTCTATTCCAAAACAAAAACCTAACCTAAAGCGACTTTGTCGATAGCCGCCTCTACTTAGAAAAATTCCGAGAGCACGCCCTAGCCGCTTAGAGAGAGAAGTTTTTTTTTAGGGTTTCTGGCCGATGGCTGGATGTTTCTTTAGCTCCGCCATCGGTCAGATGATTTATTTTGTTAGTTCTCCATATTATTCTCCTTTGTTTTGGTTGATTTTTCTTTTTCTTTTTGGATCTGAAAGAGTTTTTTTTATTGATTCTTGGTTTCTCCTCTTTTTTCATCGGTGTTTTCTTTGGCTTTTGTCGGTTTCATCTGCCGCCTTCCACAACGTATGTGTTTGACTTGGTGTTGAGTTTGGACGACTCAGGTTAGTCTCCTCCACTAGAAATTACAACCAGGTTGAGATCTGTATTTGCTTTTGTCTTCCAGTACCAGATCTATATCGTTTTCTGTCGACAATATCGGTTACGACATCTTTAGACGGTTTTAAACCACTTCAATAGAAGCTTCGTCATGTCAATTCAAGAAGCATATTTCATAATTGCCGAAGTCTACTCATTACCAAGTGAGGACAAGAAGATTTGAAAATCTGTTCTAAATATATTTTCAAATTCTTTAGAAATCTTTGTTGATTGGGTTTGTAAAAAATCTTATAATCATGATAGCTTTGTAGCTGATCTCTCATTGTAATCACCTATTGGTAACTTATTATATTCGATAAAAGTTATAATCAGTGTTAAAAAAAAAGCGACTTGTGTCTCGTTATTTCCATCATTGTCTTTCTCGAAGAAGAAGAAGAAGGAGCCTTTGCCGAATCCATCACTTTCGGATGATTTGCTATTGAGCTGCTTCACACGCGTCTCAAGATTGTACTATCCGACACTTTCCCTCGTCTCACCAAGCGCTTTTGATCTCTTCTTACTTCACCAGAGTTTTACAAGGAGAGGCCACTCTTGGGCCTCACCGAGAACTGTCTCTATGTGTGCTTAGGGTTCCCGTGGTCTTCCTTCTCCCTGGTACACACTCTGCCGGAAACCTGGTGATCAAACCCTAACTGATGACACCAGTGAGAAGAAGAAGTCAAGTGGGTATGTTTTGGCTAAACTCACAGTTCCTGATTCTCCTCATTCGCAGTTTTCGGGTCTTCTGGCGGTTGGTTCTAATATCTACAGCATTGAAGAGCACTCACCTGGTCTCGATTCTAGATTGTCAGTCTCACACGTGGCGCAAGACTCCTAGCTTGCGTGTGAAGCTATTGTCACTTTCAGTTAGCGTCGTTGATAAAAAGATATATTTAGCAGGAAGAAGCAGGTACAAAGATAGCTACTTCACTTCCTTGACCAACACGTTCGAGGTATTCGACACAAGAACACAAATTTGGGATCATGAGCCCATCCCTTGCAGCTTGATAACGTTCCCGTTGCGTCATTTAAGAAGTGCTAATATTGACGGAATGTTCCACGTGATGACGGGCACAGAAGTGGTTTTTTTACAGTTCCAAAGAAAGTAGATGGGGAGTCGCTGAACCGGGGGTGACCCGAATGGGTGATTATATGATTTCAGATTCTCATTGCGAGATAGAGAATGTTATGTACTCTGCTTTTTCCGGAGGGTTACAATGGTTTGACCCTGAGATAAACATGTGGAGAAGATGACTTGGTTCAAGAGGACTGCCTGAGTTCCCTGGTGGTTCTTGTGTTAGAATGGCTGATTGTGGTGGAAGGATGGCAGTTTTGTGGGAAGAAGATTTTGGGCTTAAAGGCTTCTTCTTTGAGATGAAGATTTGGTGTGCGGAGATTGCTCTTGAAAGGCGCAAAAATGGTCAAATGTGGGGTAAAGTTGAGTGGTTTGATCATGTATTTACAGTCTCTGGATTGTGTTATCTCATGAAGGTTCTTGCTGTACTCTTTGATGAAAGACTTTTGTTTCACTTCTCTAATCATTTGATGTCACTTTTCCATTGTTAAAAGCTTATTTTGGTGACCAAAATGTTTCTAAAGCAAGTTTTGTGTTGAATAAACTGATGAGTTCGATCTTTACTTCATTCTCGAAAATAAAACCACACTTTGAAGAGTATTTGACGATTGTTTATATCTTGAGTGAGGTTTTGTGGTAAAAGGTAAAAAAAAACTTTTGTTCATATATCCTTGATCCAAAATAAGTTTATGTGTTTTTTGGATCTATATAATCCATGGGAAACAACAATATTCCAATTCATATAATGAATAATGCAAGTGAACTTGTGAATGCTCTTTATAGTGGTAATGTCATGAAAACTTCACTTGAAGTTTGTGAATGGTGGTATGTCATCATGAAAAGTTCACTTGAAGAATTCGAAGAAATGAACAAACAAAAAAATACCCAACAAGACAACAAGTACTCAATGAGGCCGGCCCAAAATCTTTCATTTGGGCTTTGATATTTTAAAGACGCTTCACATATTTGGTATTAACACCTCCGATTTTTTAAGAATTCTCTAAATTTGGCCCATTCTTCCACTAAATTGCAACTATTAACTGGGTTCGTCGTCGTCGATTCCCAAATTTCTCAATCGATAAACCCTAAAAATTCTCTCATCTTCGGTTTCTTCCACCTGAACCTCATCGATATTCGTCTCTAGGCATTGTTACGAGCTGATCTCTGTAAAAAAAAAATGTCGGCTGTAGGAACATCGAAAGGGATTCTAGAGATCGCCAAGTTCGGTTTCTACGTCGCTGTTCCTATCGGCCTTATGTATACCTTCGCCAACAACAGCACCAATATCAAGAAATTCATGGGAAATGTAAATCTTCTCTCTCTCTCGTTTTCTCTTTTGTAAACTTATCATCACTGATGTTGCATCGATTGATGCAATTTAAACGAATCTCGTTGGATTGTCGTGCTCTATTAGGCATATAGATTGATGGGTTTTGCTTAATAATTTGGAATGAAAATCTCTAAATTTAGGGTTAACGCATTGTTGCTGGATTGTTAAGTGGTGAATCGTTGTAACGCAGTGTATAGTTACTACAATCTCAGAAACATACAAGATATGGTTCAATCTCCTTGACTAGTTAAAACGATTCATCATCGTAAATCTCATTTGCTTCATTCGAAATTTCTTTTGTAATTTTTTGGTCAGAGCTCAATAGAACAGTCTGTAATAATGGTGGTTTTGCAATTTTGGCTATTTTGTGTTCATCGCTGGAGGAGTTTTGCTGAATAATTAGGAAAATGGTAATTCTGAAATGGGTACTTAGAATTGTCTGCACTTGAATCACTGAAACGCAGAGTACTAAGACTGCAGAAACATACCACGGTCTGATTTAGTCGGCTTGAATGTTCGATGATTCATTTGCCCTGCATTCGAAAATTTCGATGCTTCTCGGGTTTTACATGGTGATTTTGCATTTGCAATGGATGCATTCACTAAACATTTGGTTTGTTCTGTGCAGCGTTCATATGTTGTGTATCCGGAAGAGGCACCTCGACCTCCTTCACCGGAGGAGCTAAGAGAGATGGCACGAGAGCTTGCTCGTAAGAAGAACATTCCTCGAGTTTGATGATGAAAGACATGGAATATACAGAAGTTCGATGTTTATGTTACTGTAATAGTAAATTGCTCGGTGTAGCAACTGGTATAATAAGGTAATGTTATGTTATGTTGTTGATTCCTGTAAGATCAAAATGAGATGTACAAGTAAAAGAAGAAGAGTCTTTTCTTTTGTTGAAGAACCTGCATATGGTTACATTATTTTGTGTTTATACACACACACATCAATGGATGAAGTCTAAAAACATTTACAATCACAGCTTCAAGTGTTTTCCTTTGTAGGACATTTAATGTTAATGGGCTGTATTATGGGCCTCTAAATTTCAGCAGAAGGAGAATTCCAAAACTAATAATAATCAGTGCTGAATATATCAACCAAAATTCATCGTATACTTTTTGGAAGGTTTTTTCTCTGATTCCGCGTACTGAAGTGAAGATTTCTGACTTCTTTTTATAGGTAGGTTCTGTATTTATTTCCAAATTAATCTTCTCTGAGTTTCTTATGGATAAACCTCTGAATCCTATTAATGGGTGTCATCATCTTTTCTTAGCTGTCACCTGTCAGTGCTTTTCCTTTTTGTTTCTATAAACGGGTCATCATCATATTAGAAAAATTAATGAATCTTATTATCACTTTTAAAATTACGTTCTTACATATGTTCACATTCTATTTATATACTTATTTAATCCTAGTATTATATGATTTTCTTCAGTTAATCAGTATTCAGTTTCTGCAAGCTGTCTCTGATTTGAACAAGGAATAATTGACTTTAAAGATCTGCATAATAGAAAAATATTAAATTACAAATGTGGGTGTATATTTATATTTAGTATTTGTTTTTCTCTGATTCACCTAGACCATTATGTATTATAAAATTTAGAAATTCTTATCCGTTTAGCAGCTTTCACATTTACTAAGTAAAAGAATTTAAACACGTAAGTGAAAAGAAAAAGTTAAAAAAAAAAAAGAAGAAGAAACAAAAGTCACAGTCTTACACCAAACACAAGTTTTCTAAAAAAAAATAGTGTTTTGCGTTATATTCTTTCGTTCTGGATTTAAATCGGAATCTCTGTCATAAATCATAATGCTATTTTCAATAAGGGAAAGAAAAAAAAAAGTTACTAGTGTATTTACCTAAGGAAAAAATAATAATGATGAAAATAAATACTAAAAAGAAATATGGGAGAAAAAGAAGAAAAAAAGAAAACAAAAGGAGGAGGACCACATTTCACCAAATATTCGGGTTCTTGATGTCAATGCGGATAAGTCTCAGTATTTATGTGTTCTAAAAATAGAGAAACAGATAAATAATATATCATATTTGTCCATTCTCTTCATTCTCATTTTATAATTATTTAAATCATCATGTGTCTCCGAAAAAGAATTAACAACAGTCTGCTGATTTTAATATGTTAATCATTATAACTTTGTACTATTATTTGAAACATGATTTCAAAAAAAAATGTCTTACAATATGATCCTATGTATTTTCATGTCATGATTTTCTTTTAGATTATTCGAATATTTTGGCTAATATAACTAAAAACTGAGAGGCATGTGAATAACAGAATAAGCCCATGACCATGCGCCACACAAAGTAATCACACCATATTGGCTACTTGTGTATACTTTGAATTCTAGGTCAATAATGTAAGTAAGACTTTAGGCATGTCAATGTAGATAGGTCTCTTTACCATTAGGCTCGTCATCTTGCAGGTTGGTCCCCAAACATTAACACGCTACGTAACCCCTATCTGTCTTACTTTAAATATATCCATGTTTTTATTTTTTTGTTAAAGATATATCCATGTTTTTAATTATCGTTATTTAACTTTACTTAGTATACTGAAAATTTCTAGAAATACTAGTGTTTCAAGTTAGTGTAAGTTCTTACACTGAAATGTGATATATATTTAAAAATAATAGTTATATATCTATAAGAAATCAATTTTAAGATTCTTCTGAAAATTCAACAAATAGCCTTACAAATATTCTTGGGGGCTTTTTTATATAGTTTTATATTATCGATCTCAAATTGATGTTGTCAAGAAGATTGAGAACTATCAATAATGTTAACATAGTTTTTTTAATCAACAATTCATAATAATGATAAGAGTAGCTATGTATGTTAATCAAGAAAATTAAGTATATGCTTTTTATTTATGGTTCGGTAAACTGATTGAGAGAAAAAGTGAGACAAGAGAATTTATATATTTCAATATGGTTTGGAAAGAGATTAAGCAATCTCCAAATGCCCAACGACTAATGTAGGAGCATAAAATAAAAGACATCTACGTACTTAATTAATATATATATATATATCCATTGTCTACATATATAATATATAAGATAACATCTTATAAGCAAATCATTATAGTATATACCACCATTCATGTGTGAAGGAGCCAAAGAGATCCAATTAAATAATAACACTAACAGTATGACAAGTGAATACGCAATTTTTTGGGTTTAGTTATCTAAACCTTTAGCATATGTAATCTCGTCATCTCTGTTACTGTTATATATTTTCGTGATGATACTCGTTCAAAATCTATAATGATAATCATTATCAATGATCAAGACATCCATTAAAATAAAATGTGAAAGGGAAGTTTCTTAAACTATAATTTAAATTCTAGAACGATAATAATGTTGTTGAAAATATGATGATAATGTTAAACTAAGATATACAGTATGACGTATAAAAAGTATTTGTTTTGTTTTCTACTCTTAGAAATAATGCCTAATCTCGGAGAAAAGATTAGGAGAGTAGTTAAGCAAAAAAAAAGTTTGGGAGAGTATTAAGAAAAGGAAAGAGGCCCCACAGCTTCTAAAATTATTGTAACCGACCCTACCCACTTCATGCAACCTAAAATATTGTAAAAACTTGTGTGTTTCCTAAAAATATATAATTATAATTGTGTATTGTGTAGTACTGTAGTACTGTAGTACTAGGTGGTTGGCCCGTACATATGTGCAGGTATAATTTTTTTAATATACATAGTTAATTGTAATATTTAAATTTTAAATATTTATATATTTGTATATATATATTGTTTTAATATTTCACAAACTTTTTTTTGAAATCAATGTATTTTATTACTTTTATTTTTATAATACTTGTAATAGTATATAATCACAAATATAAAAGTTATATTAAATAATAATTAAATTCTTATAATATTAATATGCTTTATTTCTTCTTACATAATCTATAATATGCTTTTTTGCGTTTTACATAATATGAGTTTGTAAATACATATATAATATATTTTAAGTATATATTTTTCTTGATTTATTGCAAATTAAACTGAAATAGTTTTTACCATTTTTACTTATTCCTAAGAGCGGATAGATGGTTGGCACGCATGTGCGGCCATACCAATCACTTCACTACACTTAGAATAATAAAGATTTTTTAAAAAAATATAAATTGGATAATAATTAAAATAAAAATTAGACTGTAACCAATCTTAACAAAATACATGCACGAAAAAGTTCGCATGTGACTTTAACTAATGTACAACTAATATTTATATATATACGCGTATTGTAAAAAAATTGAAATATGGCGATCAACCCCAATGGAGAACTTATTAAGAAGGTCTTAAAAATATTTTATTATTTATTTTAGACACTGTGTGTCTTAACTCAACAAAAGTATCATATTTTAGTCATTGTGTCTATTTTTAAGACCCTTTCACTATTTTTTTTTTATTTTTATTATTAAGATCTTTTGTTTTAGACACCCAAAGTTCTCCATTAGAGTTGCTCTTATGTGTTAAATTTTTTTTAAGTGACTTTGTAAAACAAAGGACGAGAGATTTTTTTTTATATATACTTCTATTTTTATCTCTTATTCATATTGTTTCTTCTTATTATAATTTATTCTTTCGTTCGGTTATTTTTTAATTCATTTATGATTTCAAAATTTTGATATACAATGAAAACAAAATTATGAATATATATTAATATGATATAAAATTTTATTTTTATTTAAAATATGATAAGAGATAAGATGAGATGGTAACATAAGTTATGCACATTTTAGAAAACAACAATAAAAAGATGATAAAAGTTATAGAAAAATATATGATCCTATTAATATTATAAAATAATAATTAGTATATACTTTATTCATTTAGTAAATATTGGTTTGAAACTATTTTTTTTAAATTACGTTTTTTTAAAAAAAAAATCAATAAAAGTTATTTATTTTTATTATTTTTAACCTTTTATTTTTTTAATTATTTTTATCATGATTGTATCTTATTTAAAATTGTATTATTTAATAATTTTTTTATTTAAAACTTTTTTAGATTTAATTAACAACTTTCCGAAATAAAAATATATCATAAATAGAATTTTTACTATTCTATTGGATAATTTAATATTATTTTTTATTTTTATATGAAATTATAATATATATATATATACTGTTGAAAAAATTTCGTAATTATTTTTTATGAAATTATGAATATATGTAAAAAATTAAAATTATAATAGCTTTTATTTTCTATTAATTTAAATTTGTTAATTTTAGTGTTATAAATATAATTTAGTTTATTTATGTTTTAATTCCATAATTTCTATAATTTCAATTCAACTAATCAAAATATTTCGTTTATTTTAGGAAGTTTGACATGTCACATTTACATGTCATCAATTAAAAGCACTAACTTTGATTGTAGTGTTGACAAGTAAGCAATTTTCAATAATGTTACTTCTCAAATAATATGTAGTGGATATATATATATATACTGTTGAAAAAATTTCGTAATTATTTTTTATGAAATTATGAATATATGTAAAAAATTAAAATTATAATAGCTTTTATTTTCTATTAATTTAAATTTGTTAGTTTTAGTGTTATAAATATAATTTAGTTTATTTATGTTTTAATTCCACAATTTCTATAATTTCAATTCAACTAATCAAAATATTTCGTTTATTTTAGGAAGTTTGACATGTCACATTTACATATCATCAATTAAAAGCACTAACTTTGATTGTAGTGTTGACAAGTAAACAATTTTCAATAATGTTACTTCTCAAATAATATGTAGGAGATGAACATCAAGTATAATAAAAAGTATTATATTGTCTCATAATGGATTACTTGGTACCCCACATCAATGATTGCGTTGCATTACATATTGGTATTGTTTAACCGTTTATAAGAGAATTGATTTTAAATCACAACAAACACATCTTTATGGAAACATAGTCAGGTCCATGTAGAAAATTGGTCTCGACTGCAACTAAAATTGAAGCAAACACAAGTTTGATTTTATTTTCCAACAAAGAAAAATAAAAACTTGATCTTTCCATTTAAAAGATCAACGGAACATTGCACTGTGACTTTATTATAGAACGAACCAATGTTTTTTGTTTAATTTAGTATAAAATGAGGCAACTCCTCAACGTAAGTAATTGAAGAAAAGATAGAGAAACATTATGCTTCGCCATTAGCCTTTTATAAATGGTAAAGACGTAAAGTATAATTAATTTGAAATCTTAGATAAAGTAAAGAATTCTGGAAACAGAGATTTGGAAGAACTATATACAACCGAACAGGAAAATGCATAAAGTACATTTGTTTTATGAAGATCGGATCATTTTTCATTTTTGTCTTCCGTTTACCGATCCATTTATAATCCAAGTTCGTGTTTGGATCTAATTTTTCCTTTTTCTTGCTTCATTAGTTTTGTAACTTTTGTTTGTGTCTACATCATTGCTAAGCTAACTTTATTTATTTATATATGTAACCAAATCATACACCTAAATATTTATTTCACTGACATGAGTGGAATATCACGAAAACAAGAACAATAATAAATAATCTTAAAAAGTAATAAAAAGAAAACAAATACAGTAATATTACACTGTTGAGACGAACAGCTCTAGCACTCCACGGCTATCAAGAAACCACTGACTTCCTCTTCTTTCTTCTCGAATGCTGCCGTCATCGTAAAATAGTAATTAATATAAATTCTGCTAACCTTTATTTTATTTTATTTTTCTGACAACGATAAATGTTGTGTTTTTTTCTCTTTTTTACTGATAAATTTGTTGCAATGTTTATGGTATAATATGAGAAATTAGGGTTGTCATAAATCGTCTGTTCCTTTTGCGCCAACATATTTTTAAATATATGTCACATTGAAATTTATGGTAAAATTTTCAAACACCTGAAAACAAAACATTATGTATCTCAAATTTAAACATAACATTTTTGAGATTTCATTTTTTTTCCTAAACACAGTTAAGTTATCCTATTGTACCATTTAAAGATCTCAACTTTATAAATTATGTATTTTTCACACAAGGCTGACTAAGAACACTTTTAAGATATACAACAAAGAAACAGATCATCTTAAACTCTATGAAAAGGGTATAAAAAGATGCATTGCAAAAATATTCTTCTACCACCATAGAAATTTTCTTCTCGTAAATATTGTAAATGGCAATCATAGAAAAGTATTTATCATCTCGAATAATTTCTGCTCAATAATTTCAATATCTTTCAAATTCGTTCGAAACATCAAAATTTGATCTATGAAGTACTTGTATGGTGAATCTAAAGAGATTGTTAACGAAAATTTATTTCAAATTGATTTTTGAGCCCACAATTTCTAATTGTGTTAGAGTTTTTTTCTACTAATATATCAAACACCATAACACTATTTTCATTATTTATAATAAAAAAAAAACTAATCAGGAGAAAACTATGAAACTGAATAATTTCGTGTGCATAATGAAGAAATATGTGTGCTTGCAATCACATAAGATATCGATATCCATTTTGCTATTTATCTAGTGGAATAGAATAATTTTAAAATTTCAATAGTTCACATTATACAAACACTAGGTCAACTAAGAAAGTCCATGATAAATATATCTCCTCTTAGGTTGATAGTATTTATTAGAAACGTGTTATGTGATCCTAATGAAGTTGATATGACCATTTTTCTAGCTTTTGTTTTTGCTTACTCACACTTTGTTGCAGTATTCAAATTGATAGGCCTCAGCAAGGAATTCAGATGGTTTGATAGCTGCTCTCAGTCATTCTCGCAAGGTTTAAGCGTCTTCTGAACTTGTAGTCTTTAACGCAGTTCTTTAGTGTTCTGCTCACCACCTAGTGCATTAAAAAATTTGGTCTGACCACGATATGAGAGGCTTCAATGATGGAGAATTGAAGATTAAAGGAAAACATTGATCGAGATGGTTAGACTAGAAGAATTTCAAATTGTATAAGGATAACTATAAATATAAATATAGAATCTCTTTCATTAGAGCATTTTCAATGAAACTCTATTTTTGTTTGTAAACTTTATTTTTAGAGTTAAAAAAAGTAAAAACATAGCTTTGTTTGTTTAAAAAAATCGTAGTCTTTTACATTTTATAGTAACAGTTTGTATAATTATAGTTTAAAATAAAAATATATAATGAGAGTTTTTATCATTTAAAACTACAAGAAATTATGTGTTGTATCATTTATTTTATTTGTTACTATAATTTTTTGATTGATGCAAATTCAGTTGTATAATTTAATTAAATGATTCTAGAAGTGGTGATGCGAATCATTTATATCAATATTATTAAAGATGCAACTATTTTCATCACTTATATTAATTGATATTAATATATATCATTTGCATCACTTAAAATAAATAATATTAATATTTACATCAGTTATAATTAATAATATTAATATATACTGTCAGTTATAATAAGTGATATTATATCTTAAAATTCAGGGATAGTAAATTCGTATTAATTTAATTTTTTATTAATTTTATAATATTATAAATTTAAGATAATTAATCATTTTATATTTATTATTCTAACAAATATATGTAAATATATACATATGATTTAACTTTAAAAAAGTTTAGTGTTGATGAGTTTTTTTTATAAAGGAGGAAACTAGTACTCTTCATAATTCTTAGTAATGTGGGACAAGTAGTTGTTTAGTTAAAAATTTATTTGAATCATTTTTATAACTGAAAGAAACATTAGCATCATTTTATTATTGATGCTAATGCTAGTTGATCAAATGCTTCATTTATATAATTGATATAAACTTATATATTTGTGTTAGTTTTTTAAAAATGATAGAAATTAATAATAATTTGTATCAATTGTTTTTAATTGATGTTAATCAAATTAGTATTAGTTTCAATTGATTTTAATTGATACTTGTCAAGTTAAGATTATTATCAATTAAAAAACTGATGTAAAATTTTATATTTAGTATCAATTTCTAATAAATGATTTTAAATAGAATCAATTATTTTATTAACACTTTATAAATAATGTAATATACTTTTTTTCTTGTAGTGTAACTTAAACATAATCTGTTGAAGTACAAGCTGGTGGATTCTGAAATAAGCGCCAAAACAAGCAGCAAGAAAAATGAGCTCAAGATGGATGTTGATATTGATTTGAACAGAAGCATGGATGAGAATGAAGTGATGGATGTTGATATCATCGTAAGCAGCATTTATAGTATCAATGTGGATGCTAATATTGATGTTAATTTGAACACAAGAGGTAGAAGCAGCCTGAATCAGCTCAAGGTGAATTATGTTTTGTACAAGATTTACAGCAATGTTTCCAAAGAAAACAAAACAGAGGGTTTTGGAGATGTTATCAAACAACAGCAAGAGATGGCAATTTAAGTGGAGGAAATGTGACAAGGAATTCAGTTGAAATCCCATGTTTAGCCGGTTATGCATATTTGCTTTTAGTTTGGTCCACAAACTTTGATTTTCGATTATACTCACAAATATATATTTAGGTAGAGTTCAGATATAAGCAGCTACGAGATTTTTATTTCAAAGTTGGTAAAGAGAAGATATATGCTTAGGTAAAATCTTTCAGCTATGTTTCTCTTATTATTTTAGATGGTCGGCTATTTTTGTTGATTTACTGATTACACATAGAATATTTGGTATGGTATTTATTTTTGACTTTTTCGTTAAAAAACAAAATTCTGTCGAAATCTAAAATAATAAAAACATGAAATATTATCATGAAAATAAACTCAAAATTGAAGATGATTATTACTTCTTTTATTTTATAAAGAGTTATTCTAAAATTTTATTTTTATTTATAAAAAAAATTATTTTATATTTTCAATGTAATTTTGTTAATAAAAATTACTTTTAACTTTATTATTTAAATATATTAGTTAAAAAGAGAAGTATTTTAAACTTATTTATAAAAAAATAAAATATTTTTTTAATAATGTTTTAAAAATATATGAAAAAGAGTATATACATTAAAATGATAAAGAGGTTCTCTGTCCTGAAATAATAAATTTACGATTTCTAGCATTTTAGTTTCCTTATCCAAAACAAAATAGTTCAAAAGTTGATGACTGTTGGATTTCAATCTAACTATGATTATAGAGGACTGAAGTCGCATTTCATTTATTTTTTAACTTGCCATTCCAAAATATGTTTTTTTTCTTTTCACATTTGCATATTTTTGGTGACTAAAATAATAGTCTAATTAAGTGATAATATTATATTTTTTGGCAACTAATTTAGTGATAATGTTATATTTTAACCCTAACAAGATGATATTGATAAAATTAAATGATAAAATTAAGTGATAAAATTAGTCTAATAGTTTTAAGGATTAATGCAGTTGATTAGAAAAAAAGAGATGTAAGTCTGTCTGATGTTTGGGAAAAAGAGAGTAAAGATGTCAAAAAAAAGAAGAAGATATTCTACTGTTATATTTTTTATACGACCTTTTCTCTCATTTTTGTTTTCTTTATTTTGCAATACTCTCGGGTTTTCTAGGAAATTAGGAAAATTAGAAATTCAAAATCTTCTTTTAGGGATTTTTTTTGAACAGTAAAGCTAATCCCGTGACGACCTTCGCTTCTCTCTCTACCGGCTTTGCCACGGCATCATTTTTGGCAACTGACGGAGGAGGAGAGGAAGAAGAATTCCCCGACGACAAAAATTTCTCCTCGAAACTCAGTTCAATCTCCGAACAATCTAGCTCCGGTTCAGCCACGGCGGCGGAAGAAACCGGCGGCTCCTGGGAATTGTCGCCGGAGTTTCGGGTGTATGAAGATAGCCATTTGGCTCGCATGTAATCAGCTTTCCTCCACGGCGGGAAATGCATCCCCTTCTTCTTCAAGCTCTGTTTCGCCGCCTCTGAGACCATTGAAACAATCTGACGAATCCGGTCAGATTTTCCGACGAAAATGAACGGTAGAGACTGAAGCAACGACTTGTAAGCATTCGTCTGCCGTGCGATCTCGAACTCCGATCGAAAATCAACGTCAACTAGAAACCTTTCACCGTTCAGAATCACATCGATGTACTCATACTCACCTGAAATTTCGGAAATTCTATCAGACGAAAAATCATGAGAATCGAGAAGTAGAAGAAGAAGATGAAGAAAATCGGTTTACAGAAATCGTACCGGACGGTATAGAGCGAGTTTTATCCCATTTCGATTTACAAATTGAGGAATCGTATCCGAGAGACGAGAGTCCATCGATGATGATCTTCCTCAAATCGTTTTTCCGTTTGATTGATTTGTTCTTCTCTACAATCTTCGCAACATCAGCTAACAAGTTCCTCTCAGCGATGCTCGCGCATGGTATCAAGCTCTATCAAAAATCAATCCATGGATGATTCGTTAAGACTTAAAGACCTAAGTTTTGGTTATTGCAGAGTATTTCGAAAACGAGAGGCTGAGTTACCTTGAAATGGTCATAAGCGTCGTTGAAAGAATCGACGGAGCAACCGAACAAATCTAATTCATCGTCCGAGCTATCGTCGTTGTTCCCGTTGAAACAGTTGCAGCGATTGCGTCCGTTTTTAGCTTGCTTCTCGGTGTTTTCCTCCATATAGTTTTGAACCATCTTAGCTAAAGCGACGGAGCTAGGCTCGAACTCCGTTACGACGCCTTGTTGAGCTTCTTCGGAGGCGGCGACGAGTGATTTATCTGAGTTTGAGCTTCTCAGAACATTTGTGAACGGCCGATCTAAGAGACGCTTGAGGCGAGATTTGAGAACTGGTTTTCCTGATTCCACTCGAGCAGAGTCTCTATTCGCCGGAAAATCGCTGTTGATCGGCTGGATCTTCATCGGAAACGGCATCGCTATTGTAGGTTTCTCTCTCCACCAAGTCACTTCTCGTTCAAACAAAGCTAAGAGAAACAAATAAAATTCAAATTCTCTCAGAAACTCTCCCAGATTTAAGATCTCTCTCCAGGAAACAAAAATCAATCAATAGTCCGAAAACTTCAAAAACGGAAACTCCACAGCTTCGAAATCTCACAAGACGAAGACGAAATCTACTAAAAACCTCTTTAGCTACTAGAAACTACCAGAAGAAAACTTTACGATCTTCTGAAATCAGTGGATTATCTTCAAAACGCAAAACGCAGAAATAAGAAAAAGAGAAAAAAAAAAAGTCTAAGAGACGAAATCGGAGATTCTTAACGCCGACGATTTTCACGGAAAACATGACGACGATTGTCGGAAACAGCGTTAGTAAGAACGGTAACAGAAGAAAAAGTTTCCGGGATATTCATTTTCCCGGCGAGATTCAATTCGCCGGCGATTGATATAAGGTTTTACGAAGAATCTAGAGTAAAATTGTTGAATAAGAAAACGTAATTTCAACTTTTTTCTTTTCTTTTTCTGGTTGCGCTAAAGCGAGATTGGTTGATTTTATAGGTGCAGAGGTTAGAATGAAGCTGAAGAGGCCAAAGAAGAGAGAGGTGACTAGACGCGATGATGCCACGTCATAATTTTACGTGATTTTGACAAATTATTACGTGATATCTGAAATGACCGATTAACCCTCTTAGTGGGACGGTGTTGGTCACTGTTTATTACTGATCTGAGTAATTGTGGTAGATCCTTTTTACGGTAAAACTGTCAGTAAGTAAATCGTAATGATGATAATTTACGATTTTGTCCTGACCAGTCTCCACTACTGTGGCGTGGAATATCGGGCATATCCCTCTCAGTCATCATCGGGATTTTCGGGAAACTTATATTTTCATATGTTTTTAGAATAAAAAAATATATTTAATTGCATTGTGACATTGTGACATTGCACCAATAAGAACACACCACGTAGCGGAAGTCGATCTTTTACTCCTCCTCCGTTCTTAAAATGCTATTAAAAATGCTTTAAATTAGCTGTTGGACGATCCACTAATGCCAAAATGAAAAAAATGTTGCACGGTCCACTTATTAATTTCAATGATTTCATGCGTTAAGTCGATTTGGGAAATGGATGGTTATTGTTGTTTTCTTTAAAGTTTTCATTTATTTATTTATCAAAGAATTAAACATCAATTATTAAAATGTGAAAAGAAAGAAATCGAGTTTAACTTTTCTATAAAAAATTGAGAGAAAGTAAAATTTTCTCAATACTTGAGTGGAAGATATGATGATTTTTTTTTTCAGATAAAAAAAAAAAGAAGAACAACAAAATCATGATTCTCTCTATTTCACAAAAATGTCATTTGATTTTGTTTTATAAAGAGTGTTATTTTATATTTTCTTTTTTTTTTAATTAAATATCAATTTTATCTTTATTATTTAGCTTGTTAATTAGAAAAAGAAACTGTTTTAGTGTACAAAAGACACAATAAACATTCACAATTTTTTTTTTAATTTATGTAAAAAAATGTTATAATGACACTCTTTATAAAATGTTATGGAGAAAGTATTATTTAATACTAACTAAAAATGTAACTAATGTCCAATTATTTTAGTTACGTTAAGGATCAGTATCATAGTATAAAAAACTCACACACACAAAATTATAAATTAATCATTTTTTACGGCAGTTATAAATTAATCTTTCTGTTAGATTTTAGAGTTTGAGTTTAAGTCTTTTTTTTTGTGAATGCATTTCATTTTGATCGACTAGACTAACATTTAGGTTGGCTAATTTTTAGAAAATAACAACAAAGTTGACTTATATTCCTTACACGTTAACTTTTGTAACGAGCACAACCCTAAATAATTTTAATTGTAACCGTAAAAAGAAAACAATTAAAGCAAAGTAAAAAGAATAAAAGGAAAAGTAATTAAAAAAAGAAAGTTAAAGTAAAAAAAAATATTTTCTGTAATTAAAACATTGTAGACACGTGTAGGAATAGGTAGGAGAAGAGGGGGAGTCTTCCTTTGTACGCATGTCCGTAATTATCCCTGCTGCTGGTGAATTAAAAGACAACCAATGCTCTCTCCTTTACTCCCCTCTGGAGTCTGTACTCTGTACCATAACATTTATTTGTTTCCTTATCCCCATTATCATTCCTACGATTTTTTAAAATTTGGTTACCAATTATTCTCTGTTCCTAAATAATGAATATTTTAGAAAAAAACATTGTTTCAAAAATTAGATATTTTCAATTTGCTAGGTGTAGTTATTAATACTTTTTTATTTTATTTACTCTTAAAATATTTATTATTTAAAGAAAAATTTAACTATGAAAAGATATTTATAATTTTTTTAATATATTTAAAAATCTTAAAACATCTTTCATTTAGGAACAGAAAGAATACTTTTTATCAATCAAAATTATAACTAAAACGTAATAAGTATATTGTATATTGTACTATTCTATTTCTATTTTTATCTGTAATTTTTTTTGAACAAAAGTTTAACCGTCTTTAATTATATTATAATCTTTGTATAACTAGTTGAATCTTATACATATATGAATTTATGAACGCACAGAATACTATGTGTGAAATGTTTGTTTACATTGATAATTCTGTTTTCCTTTGATGATCTTTTGTTCTGTCATTATGAGAATTGATACTTAAGACCTTAAGTCCGAGTCTATAAGCAGTCATCAACTATCTAGAGTTTTTTCCTCTCTTGTAATTTCGGACAAACCGAGTAAGAAACCCCTTTGCGAACTCCATATCACGATTGTGCAACTCAAGCGCCTCCTCTTCAGAGAGAACTCCATACTTCTCTATTGACGTCCCATACAAATCCAATCTTCTTATTTCCCCTGCAACATGTGGCATCTTAGTGATGTTAACGCATCCGCGAAGATAAAGCAGCTTCAGTTTCTTCAGGTTTCTCAACGTGTCAGGAAGATTTCGGAGCTTCTTGCACTCTGACATGTCAAGACATAAGAGATTCACATTCTCGCCTATTGACGAGGGTACTTCTTCGATCATAGTTCCATTCAAGAACATTTTCTCCACTCCATTTCCAAGAACTGGAAACACTGTGATGTTGGGACAGTGAGAAATAATGAGATATGTGAGTGACTTCAAACTCCTAATGGTTTCAGGGAGATTCTTCAGCTTCTTGCAATTTGATAACCGAAGTACTACAAGCTTCGAGAGACCGACGATCGAATTTGGCACTACTTCAATCGATGTGAAGCTCAGTCCCAACGTTTCGATATCGTTGGAAACTAATGGAAACTCTTCTATGTTTGTGCACCCGTCTAGATTAAGGGTCTTGAGGGACTTCAAGTAGATGTTACACGGAAGATTCTTGAGTTTCTTGCAATTTGTCATGGACAATGTAACTAACTTATCGAGTTGACCAAGAGAAGAAGGAAGCTCAAGCAGGCTTTCGCAATGGCAAATGCATAAACACTCGAGATTCTTTGCCTTTGAAAGGTCTGGAACTTCAATCAGATTCCTGCATCTGTTAAGGTTCATGTGTTTTAGACTTTGAAGGTCCTGCCATATACAAAAGAACCAAGACATTTGTTACCAATAGATAATCACATACAATGTAAACTCTATTAATGAATCAATACGATAAATTAATAAATGTTTCTGATTTTGAGTTAACGGGTTCAAAATATAACATAACTTTTTTTAAAAAAATGTTATCTAAATATATGATTCTACTAATATATTTTGGTGTTATTTTGCTAAACTGTGTACATCCACATTCTGAAGCATGTTTGTTCCATTACAAAGAAAAACGATTTAACCAAAATTATAAATCTTTGTAAACAGGCGAAAACCAAATCGGTTGATTTCATCAAATTAGTTTTTTTTGTTAAGAAATACTACCATTTTTTAAAAAGTAACACTGTATTTTATATTTTTGAAAACACTATATTCCTTTTATAAACGGTTATTAAATTATAAGAGCACTTATATTGGTAAGATATTAACAAGAATTTTTAACAATTCAATATTAATATTTTTACATAGTTTAATAATTTCATCTAAGTTATAAAATAAATTTCAGTCTGATGACAAGTGTATTTTAAGTTTCTAAAGATTATCTTAAAGTCTCTCAAATGAGAAATTCTCTCCATTCTCTCTTTTCTTTTTTCTACTTTTTTTTTTTATTAAATGAAATACTAGATTGAGAGTCTTGAAGTACGTACCTGACATCCGCTCCATAGTGTTTCAACTGAGCTATCAGGGAGACTGAGCTCAACTAGATTGTGAGTCTTGAAGTCTGAAGGCAATGACTTTAGAGTGTAAGCCTCCCAGCGAAGATATCTTAGTGGAGGGAGGTAGTCAAAATCGCCGACAATACACACTTTGCTCCCTCCAATACTGAGATTATTATGAATTTTAAGAAACTTAAGACAGATCATCTTCTTAAACGTTTCAGGGTTAATACAAAACCCTGTTTCTTCAGCCATGTTGAGCAATATACTTTCAACCTCAATGTCTTTACTTCCCTGTCAAGACAATGTAATATGGAATAAGAGAAAACAAATATTCATAATCATGCCTAAGGTTAGCTTATAAACTTTCTTGCTTTACCATATTTTCAGTGAACAAGCCTTTGACATCCAAAGAGTTCCACATCATTTTACGCTTCCATGGTTTTTCCAGTCTTCCTTCACAAGTGATATCCTTAGCCATGTCTTGTAGTAAATCATGAACCCAAAGCCTCGTATTGTTGGACTTACTAATCAGAGACTTCTCCATCAAAGTTACTAGCCTTACTTCAGATTTTATCACCAAAGGGTCAAGTACCATTATAGCCCGGTTCATATATTCCCCGTGGAAACAACCAGCGACGTAAAGAAAAACACTCTTCTCATGATCATCAAGTGCATCATAACTTGCTTTTAACGCAAGCGAGATAGGTTTATCAAGACATTTGTTTTTCAGTATACACAGCTTATTCTCCCAAAACCCTATTTTCCGGTCGTATAGAGATGCACCAACGACTCGAACCGCTAATGGAAGACCACCGAGTTTCTCCACGATATCTAAACAAAGCTCGCGGAACTCTTCTCGTGGACGGTTCATTTTGAAAGCATGCTTACTGAAAAGCTGAATTGCTTGTGTAGTCCTAAGAGGCTTCACTTCATAGATGAGTTTCACATGATGCTCATCTAACACACGCTTGTCTCTTGTAGTTATAATGATCCTGCTTCCTGGTCCAAACCAATTGCAGTTTCCAGCCAATTCTTGAAGTTGTTCAACGTCATCAACATCGTCAAGAACGAGAAGAACTTTCTTGCCACGTAACCTTCGTTTCATTGCATCAGAATTGATGCACCGTGGATTAAGTGGGCTTTTGGGGAAAATCTCGGACATGATTTGCTTCCGCAAATGTGATGCACCGTGTTTTTGGAAATCACTTTTCACGTTTTCAAGAAAGCAACGGTCAGGAAACTTACTCGAGAGGCCTTTGAAGATACAGTTAGCGATGGTGGTTTTCCCTCTACCTCCCATGCCCCAAAGTCCTAACATTTGGACATCGTCTTCAGAGTCCAATGATAAGAGAGATTCTATGCGTTTCTTGTGAAAACTCATCCCAACCAAATCAGTTGATTCGTCTGCTGCCTCGTCTAAGTATAACCTTTCAACAAGATCTTGAACGACTTCATGTACAAGCTTTGAGTCATTGTCCCTACGTCAAGTATAAGCAGGTAAAGAGTATGAATCTATCATCAAGAGAGATATTGTTGATCAACAAGTTTTAAAACTATAAATTCAACAGAATCCAATTATCCGATTTCGAAAAACTATGTAAAAGTAAAACTGAACTAACCAAAATTCATTAAAATAACTGATATTTTTAAAAAAAATTATATATAAAAATAATATTTACATATATCAAAATTTTAAAATTTTGATTAAAATCAGTTAATTAATTTTGTTTTTGTTATAATTATTTTGGTCAAAACATAACCAACATATATATAGTTTGGTTCTGAATGATACTAATTTTCTAGAATAAAAAATATATAAAATCCAAAAAGTTTCAAACGAACCAAAATACCATTTGATTCTCAATAGAACCTACTTATTTCTTAGAACATGGAAGACCAAATTCGGACCGAACCCAATAACCGAATGTCCGCTCCTAGAAGAAACTATGAATTTAACATTCAAATTGAGAGAATTCAAAAGAAAAACAACGAACCTGCTTTTGGAATCCCAGCCAGAAATGTTTCCAACTGTAGCCAAAGCCTCTCTCCATTTCTTCACCATCTCCGGACCAAATCTCTGCTCATGCTTCTTTAAAGCTTCGCTGAAACACCCGGTTCGGCTCTTCAATATTGACGGATCGATTCCATAGAATATAGGGATCAATCCAATTCCAGGGGGTTTCTTCTCAGCTAAGTCCACCAAATACGAAAGCTCTCTCAAGCACCACTGAGAGGTAGCGTAGTCCTCAGAGATCACGACGATCGCGAACCGCGACTGTTTCATCCCTTTCTCAAGCCCTTCCTCTATAAAATCGCCTCTCTGGAGTTCTTCGTCGTCATGGAAGATTGTCAGTCCTTCTTCTTTGAGAGCATCGTAGAGATGGCTGATGAAATTTCTCCGAACATCTTTCCCTCTGAAATTGAGGAAGGCATTGTACTTCCACCGCGAATCATCAGCCTCCGCCGCTAAAGAAGCTGCCATGGAAGCAAAAGAGTCGCACGATCAATGAGAGGGAAGTTTACGCGTGTTTATGGAAGCAGAGAGAAGCCGTTGTTGAAGCTTGAACGCAAGGTCTACGTTGTTCCATCGTAAGTCGTAATATCGTAATATCGTAGCAACTTACAAGCAATATGTGGGCCCAGTGGGTTTATTTAACTTGCGCATTGTTTGACTGAACGAAAACACAAACGGCCTAGAAAAAGCCACGTCACTTTACTGTTGAAATTAGATCTGACTTTGGTTCAAACAAAACTAAAATTATTCTTTATTGTATTAAACCTAAAATGAAGTTCAATTTCTTGAATTTTCGAAGAAACGTCATAGAAAATCACCATTATTTTTGTAAATATTTTAGACAATTCTAATAGTTAATTATCTGAATCAATACAACAATAACTCATAAGTCTTTTCATGTGTTGACAACTTAGTTTTTTTGTGTTATTAGAAGCTGACACATCAGCAAAATACTGAACCAATTAAAAAATTTTATTAATACACTTTATCTCAATATTTTGACACATATGCAACTTTTTTTTTATCATCAGAATTTTTCATTAATAAGACCCAATATGGACAGTACATAGAAATTGAAGCCCAATATTATTATTTTGGGATAACTGCAAAATTAACCATCATTATATCGATGACAAAAATTAAAACACACCATTTTTAATAATGTACTATGTGTTGTTTTATAATTTTTAATTTTTTTTAAATTTTTTAAAAAGAACAAACTGAAGCTCATTGTATATTATCGACATCTTCGTTCTCCTTTTCTCTATCATCATCTTCTTCGTCCATCTTCTTCAATTATTCTAGAAATTATCTAATTAACCTAACTAATTGATAACGTTTATTGGCAAACAAACCTAAAATTCTAATAAATCAATTAATATTGTTATCTCATCAAACTTACGATTTCACTTCTAAGATTTTAACTTTGTGGCAACTTTGTGGGGAAGAAGGATTTTTTAACCATGGATCTATTCAGGAGATATGATGGTTCTCGAAAGAGTTTGAAAAAGATCTACAATCGCATTGTGTTGATGAATTTTCTAAAAGTTGAAACTTTAAAGTGGTAAAGCTTTGTCTCTGATGCTAAAAACAGATGAGATATCCAATTACATTAACACCATTGTAGTTTAAGTTGTATTTAGGCTTGCGTTTAATACTTTAATATTTTGGGCCTTTGTATTTGGGTGTTACTCCTGTATCATATCTGTCCTATGGCTTATTTATAAAACTATATCTAAATATAGTGTGAAGTTTGAAGGTTTGATATATACATATAAGTGTGACTAATGTTTAGTTATGATAATGTTAATGTTTACATGTTTAAAGCAAGGATATGAGAAAAAGTAAAAAATTCAGAAAATTATGTTTTCTATATATTGAAATTAAATAATTTTTTATACTTTGACAAAGAGAGAGTGCATCAAATTTTAATTAATTATCAAAAGAATGACTATTTTTTAATCAAGTTATTGTATATTTATGAATGAATATTTGAAAGTGTATTAAGTTTTTGAAAGCAAATATATTATGTTTAAAGGTATCAGAGATCTGATCGAAAAAGTTGTCAACTGCCTAAATCTCGACCAGTGACTATGATTCAATAGATGAAAGGAACACTGATATGATTTGGAGAATGGGAGGAATGGCGACATTATGAAGCCATTTTCGTAGTTGCTAGACTTGTTTCTAGCATATGTGAGAGAAGAAGAACTGAAGAAATATAAAGTTAAAAGATCTGAGGTCAATTAAATACGAGCTTCAAACATTTGACATGGTTATTTGGTTTCTTTCGATATATTTTGTAGCTTTTTTAATTTCTAGAGCTAAGGTAGCGATCTGGTCAATATATAAACTTAAGCTATAGTAAATATGTAAGCTAATGTGAATTGTTGTTTCATTTGTGGTTTTTTACTAAATATTTTTTAATGCTAAAGAAATATTAATGTTAAAATAATTATTTTAGTTAGTGTAAGAAAAACATGCATTAAAAGTTTCATAATTAAAAATATGAATATAACCTGCGAGTAGAGAAATTTATGATCATAAGTAAACTTATAATAGTAAAATATGTTTTTTTAGTTTTGGTTGAAAAATAAGATTTCTCGATTTTACCAGAAAATATGATTTTACCAGTTTAGAAAAAAATACAAATTTTCAGATTTCGTTAGAAAAGCATAATTTGTAGTTTTTTTGAAAAATATGATTTTAGGTTTTTTATTATTTTTAAATTTAAGAGTATTTTAGTCATTTGTCATTTTGAACTGAAACATCTCCATCAAGATAGTCCAATTTGGTTCATTCAGATAATTCTTATAAATTTATCTAAATCTTGAAAAATCATCTAGACAATTCATCTAAATATTTTTTAATTTTGTTACAAAACAAATAAAATTTTCATTTTTATTCAAATGAACCATATAGATGGAGAAATAAATATGGCCTAAATCCAAAACTTATGCTAAATAAAAAATAAATATAATATTTATTTATACTGTAAAAAAATAACTTTTTATTTTTAAAATATATAAAATTTAAAATAACATCCTGCAGCATAGCGCGGATAAATACCTAGTATTTATGTAAACGTTTTTTATATATTATAACAAAAATCTAGATATTGTGGTAAAGATTCTAAAAATGGATTAAATATGTAAGATATTTTGGAGTTTTGGAGTCTATTAACTCGTCCGGCCCAATAATATTAAGTGATAGGTTTTAGGCTACAAAGCAATATCAATGATATTTTTACATTGATCAACCAATGGAGTCCTCCTCCTTCATATACTTCATTATGAAATGAAAGTTGGGATCAGAGAGATGTGAGATGGATCCTTAGGAATGATGAAGGCAATATGAAATATATGATGTGGTTCACCCATGTCTACATTCGGTCTTAGACGCAGAAGCATCGGTCTTTTTGTGAGGTGTTTGTGTTGATAACTTTAGCTTCACCAATGTGAGGTTCACACCAAAAGTTAAAGAGTATTTTCTTTGCGGATTTTCTAATATTAGTCTTATATATTAAAAAAAAAATTAAAAAGGAAGAATGAGAATAACAAAAGTTTTTTATACGGATCTTCTTTCTTCATCAATATTCAAACTAAAACCAGAAGCGCATTTTAGAGGATGATTAACCCCACAAATTTTGCTCGTAAGGTTGCTGATCCTTGGAAAATGTTTCATCGGCTTTACTTCGTCCTGGTGGAATCTTAATCGGAACAATATGGATTGTCGGTTGTCCCTTTTCACGTAATACTTCTGAAAAATATATTTCAATCAAATTTGAGAGACCTTTAGGTACATGAGATAGTTAGTAAAATAAAAATGGAAGAGAGAAAGGGAGTACAAGGAGGTTCGTAAAGCATTAAACAGCCAAAAAAAAAAATGATCAAGAAGTTGCAAGTTAATCACCAAGCTTCTTGAGATTACAACATATCTCACTTCTTTCTACTTTTCCTGATTAAAGAATATGGGTTTTACCTACTCTGATCATCAAAACCTTCGAGGCTAGTTTGAGGTTTTTTATGTGTTCTTGCTGTAGTTATACTGAATACTAAAACCGAGAAAATTAAACTTATTTCTTTACATTTAGTCATTCACTAAGTTATGAGTTTTTGTTCTTTTGTTACATAATTTGTTGGCTTCTCATCTAAGTTAGGAGAAGAAATCGATGAAAATAGATTCCTTCTATGTTTTCCGTTTTCATCATTATTTAGCTTAACTAGAGAAGGTACTTAAAATCATTGTTCAAAAATGTCCAACCTTATGCTGAATTCAGTTTGGTCTTTGCTTTAGAAAACCAATGAGAATAAACCACATTTACAGTATTTGCCTCTGAAATTTACAAAATAATTTATAACCTTGAGTCTAACTAATGGTTTCTCTCTTTCTAATATGTCTTTGAATGATTATTTGAATATAATCTCCAACTTGGATGATATTCATTTTCTTCCGTATAGCATACATATATGATATATATCGACCATCTATGAGGAGATGCAAAAGAAACAAATGTTGGTTGTAATTTGTAAATCTGTTTTTTTCAACCAGATTGAGCAAAAGGTTTTTGGTATAACGAACAATCATCTGCCTTGATAATGGAATAAATTATCCCTATTCAATTCTATTGCAAGATTAACTTTTGCAACATATCTACAGTTCCAACGAAAGGTTTTGTGGTATATACTATGTACCCTGAATTCCGAAATTACATGGTTATTGGTTATTCATTTAGGCTCATGCATGGACCGTATACTACAATATATTTAGGCCTATGTAACATAAGTAGGTAAATATCATTGGAATCAAGTTTATGTTACAAAGATATGATAATCTCCCGTGACAAGTAAGACCCTCTCTTTTCCAATTATTAATTGATGTATAAGTTTATATGGTCGTACCTTATCGCTTAACGAAACAAACAAACCAAAAATCAACATATTCGAATACGCCATTTTCGAAAGTCAACTCTAAAACACATGCAACTGAAATATTATCAAAATTATCACGTATATAATTCATGACATCTTGAGAAAAAATTATTACTAAACGAACCTTTGTAGTAACTTATATATTCTATCATCGCCAACACTTAAAATTTTAAACTTCAAGTGTTCTCCTTTTCAGTTGAAGATATAATGTTCTTTATTTTGTACATTTGTGATATTACTACCATAATCATAGTAGCAATACAATAGTTTAAATAACTCCCAACATAATACCACTTGAGAGAACACGGTTTAATCAACATTTTACCATTTCAAACTTGCTAGATAATGAAAGCTACACTTAAACATGAAATCAATACAATAATTTTAAATATCACCCAACATAATACGACTTTGACGAAACACAGTTGAATACATTTTACCATTTCAAATTTTCTAGATAATGGAAGATACACTGTTAAGGTTTCTTGATTAAGGGATGAATGTAACATGTAAATTCCGTACGGACTTGTTCAAACCCCTACATCATCTATAAATAGAACTTGTTGTCTCACAAGTTTCTCACACCTTCATTGAAAAGCGAAATCAAGAAGTTAACACTAATCCCTTCTCTTCTTCTAAGAATCGTCTCAATATATACACATACACATGGCAATGAAGAGCCTCTGCGTTCTTGCTGCTCTATCTCTCTTGGCTTTGACAGTTCCATTAGCCATTGCTTCTGATCCAAGCCCCCTTCAAGATTTCTGCGTCGGCGTCAACACACCAGCAAGTGGAGGTATGGAAATGATGATTTCTTAACTTCTTCAACATATGTTTATGCTAATTTTTTTGCAATACTTATAGTTTATATTCTTATACTATGTTCAGTGTTTGTGAATGGGAAGTTCTGCAAGGATCCAAGGATTGTTTCCACAGATGATTTCTTCTTCCCAGGACTCAACAGAGCTGGAAATGTAAATAACGCAGTTGGTTCTAATGTGACAACCGTTAATGTTAACAACCTTGGAGGATAAAACACTCTTGGGATCTCACTAGTTCGTATAGACTATGCACCAAACGGTCTGAATCCACCTCACACTCACCCACGTGCCACCGAGATCTTGGTTGTGCAACAAGGAACTTTACTCGTAGGGTTTATCTCATCAAACCAAGATGGAAACCGCCTTTTCGCCAAAACGCTCAACGTAGGTGATGTGTTTGTGTTTCCAGAAGGACTCATCCATTTCCAGTTCAACCTAGGACGAACTCCTGCGGTTGCAATCGCTGCTTTGAGCAGCCAGAACGCAGGTGTTATCACGATTGCTAACACGGTGTTTGGGTCTAACCCAGCTATAGACCCGAATGTTCTTGCAAGGGCCTTCCAGATGGATGCTAATACAGTCAGGGATTTACAAAACAGATTCTAACAATACAATATAAGAAATATATTCTTTGGAACTGCTTTAAGTTTTCTTTCTTCAGAATAATGATTTATTGCTATATGATGACATGTATTATGTTGTTTTAAAAAGAAAAATATATTGATTGAAGTTTTTCAATTATTAATAAAACTTGTGTATGCCTAAGGTTCGTATTAGAGAAATAATGAACAAACAACTTGTTGACATATTTTTGAGATACATCATACGCTATCACATGTCGTTCACGGCTTGAGTTTTTCTAGGTTTTGACTTTAGCTCTGAAAATGACACTATGGTAAATATGTAACTAGGAAAATTGTCTTTGCCACTAGATTCACAACATAAGCCACGATTAAATTATCTAAAACTTCATCAGCCATGACCATTTTTGGTAGAGAGTACTGCTCAGGCCCATTCTTAACAAAATCATGTTGGACATTCCAACTTTTCATTTGGAAATTCGATCGTTTGGTAATCGGTATCACTTGTAGAGCTTCCATATCTTGCATCTCTTTTCCTTTTCATCTATAACACTTTGATTTCAAGAATATAAATATATATGTGATGAAATTTAAAAGAATTGATTTGACTACCTATATCTGCAAAATCTATATATCTTTTCGATCATTAATCCAAAAAGAATTACATAGTTAAACGTGTTAATTCTGAAGTAGTAGTAGAATCTATAGGAAAGTAATTTCTAATATCGTGTGAGCGACAAACAAAACACGGAAAAAGATGACGTGATGATTATAGAGTCAATATATCATAACTTTTGAATCTTTCGAATTTTGCACAAATGATTATGCAGGAAAACTAGTTTGGACCCAAGTTTTTCCCGAAACGAGATTACACCAAGTGCTATATCAACTACGACTTCAAGCAATAAATCACTAATCTTCAGCTTCACTTCATAGATGTGTTTCACATTATGCTCCTCTAACACACGCTTGCCTCTTGAAGTTATGATGATCCTGCTGCCTGGTCCAAACCAATTGCAGTTTCCAGCCAATTCTTGAAGTTGTTGAATGTCGTCGACATCATTGAGGACATTCTTGCCACGTAGCCTTCGCTTCATTGCATTGGAACTGACGCACCGATGATTCATGGGGCTTATTGGGAAAGCTTGAGACATGATTTGGTTTCGCAAATGTGATACACCATGTTTTTGGAAATCATTTTTCACGTTTTCAAGAAATCAATGACTATGAAATTGCCTGGAGAAGCCTTGGAAGACGTGCTTAACGACGGTGGTTTTCTCTTTGCCTTGCATACCCCAGAGTCCTAACATTTGGACATCTTCAGAATCCATTGATAAGAAAGATTCTATTCGTTTCTTGAGAAAAATCATCACAACCAACACAGGTGTTTCGTCTAACTTCTCAGGTGAGTCTTCTAGGTATAACTTCTCAGAAAGATCTTGAACAACTTCCTGTACAAGCTTTGAATCATCGTTCCTGCGTCGAGCCCAAAACAACATATAAAAAGACTATATATGAATCTCTATCACCAAAGGAGATATTTTGTAGAACTTGAAAAAAACTCAAAAACTGAAAAACTAAAACCAAACCGAACCGAACCGATGAATTCAACATCCAAGATGTGAGAATTCAAACCTGGTTTTGGAATCCCAGCCAGAAAGGTTTCCAACTTTAGCCAAAGCCTCCCTCCATCTATCCACCGTCTCCCCACCAAATCTCAGCTCATGCTTCTGTAAAGCTTCGCTGAAACTCCCGGTTCGGCTCTTCAGCTTTGACGGATCGATCTCATAGAATATAGGGATCAGTTCAGTGCGTTTCTTCTCAGCTAAGTCCACCAAAAACGAAAGCTCTTTCAAGCACCAGTGAGAGGTAGCGTAGTCCTCGGAGATCACGACGATTGCGAATCGCGACTGTTCTATCCCTTTCTCAAGCCCTTCCCATATCGAATCGCCTCTCTGGAGTTCTCTGTCGTCATGGAAGGTTACGAATCCTTCTTCTTTGAGAGCATTGTCGAGATGGCTGACGAAACGGTTCCGAACATCAGCTCCTCTGAAACTGAGGAAGGCATCGTACTTCCACAGAGAACCTGCCATGGAACCAAAAGAGTCGCACGATTAAGGGAAGCTTACGAGGCACCGAATCACCGATGAAACGACGCTTAATCGGAAGAATTCCGAAGAATCAAGACGAAACTGAAGAGAGTTTGATCGAAATTGAATGAAAGTTAGTTAGGCGTCAGGAACTCTGATATATATGTATACACACTCTAATTACGCGTGATTCTGGAATCAAGAGAAGCCATGAAGCTTGAACGCAAGGTCGTCGTTGTTCCATCGTAAAAACTAAGTATCGTAGAACCTAGCAAGCAATTACGTGGAAATGACACAATATTTGGATTACAAATTTACACGTCACTTTCTATCTTTGTATGGGCCCGATGATCTTATTGACTTGAGCACTAATAAAAGGGTGTAGTTAGTAAAACCCTTTAGTTGATCAAATAATAGGTAGAGAGTAGGAAAATTTCTAAATTTAAGTAGATAGGAGAGTGAAATATTTTTTTAATTCAAAATCTCCTTTTGTTAAACATAATTACAAAAAATACCATTTATCCAAAACTATGTTGGCAATGTAAAATCCAATAATACTATTCACGTTACATTGTTAACGTATGTTTTGAAACATTATGTATGTACATAAGTTAACAATGTTATTACACAATTAAATATTAAAAAAGTTAACAAATTACAATATATACATGTTAAACTATATTACACATATCAACTCATAAATCAATATAAAATATATGTTAAATCAATTATTTATATAAAATTATTGTGTTATCCAAATAATATTTTCATATTAATCAGGTTATATTTCAGACTGTTAACTGATTTATCAATGTGAAATATTTGTTAACTAATTATTGAAATAAAGTTATTGTATTAAACATGTATTATGTAAAACAATAATCGTGCTGATACAATTTACAATGATCATCGATTCCAATGCACTTAATGAGTACAATCATACTGCCATAGTCAACACTTACAAATTTATACCAGATCCCTATATATTTCTTTGGGGTAGCTCTAAAAACAACATCTGATGACTTGGCATCGAGTTTGCCAGCCAAAGAAAGAAGGAGGATTGGGAATTTGAGGAGCTCAGAATATGAATAACACTTTACTAGCAAAGCTAGGCTGGCGAGTACTATAGGATGAAACGAGCCTCTGGGCGGTGGTCATACATAAGAAATACTGCGTGAAGGACATACAAATACCTCATGAACTATAACGAAGGGCATTGGTCAAGTACTTGATGAAGTATAGTGAAAGGGATCCGAGAGGTTATGGTACCAGGAATGTCTTGCGTCATTAGAGATGGTCGTTGGGTTTATTTCTGTAAAGATAAATGGCTGTTAAACACACCATTAATGGTGATAGTATAGGGAGAGATACTAGAGGAGGTAGTAAATTTGAAAGTGAGAGATCTATGGAGAAATGGGACTGGTTGGCGATTGGAGCGAGTTGCTCCATATGTAACAACAAATATTTGGTTACGGTTGGGGCTGTGGTCTTGGATGACGTGATTGGCGTTAAGGATAAATGTCGTGGGAGGGGGGGGGGAATCAAGATGGGAGTTTTACAGTTAAAGCGGCCCACTCGTTTATAATGAAGAATAAAATTCCTAGATAGGATATGAGGAGGTTTTTTGAGCGGGTATGGAAAGTCATTGCGCATGAGAGGGTGAGAGTGTTCTTATGGCTTTCCACTCAACAAGTTATCATGACAAACATGGAGAGTCAACATATACATCTAAGTGCTTTTGGAGTTTGTCAAGTCTGCAGTGGAGGTGAAGAATCTATTCTCCACATTCTTCGTGATTGCCCGGCGATGACAGGGATTTGGATGCGCATAGTTCCGAATAAGAAAACAGAGAGCTTTCTTTGAGCAGACATTATTGGAATGGATTTACGATAATCTGGGAGATGAGGGAGTGGTGGGTAGTAGTACATGGTCTACAATATTTGCGTTGGCAGTTTGGTGGAGATGGAAATGGAAGTGTGTGAATATATTCGGTTCGAATGGAAAGTGCCGAGATAGGGTCCGGTTTCTGAAAGATTTAGCTCAGGAAGTAACATTTGCTCACTCGAAACTGAAATAGAAGGATCTCGTGGTTATAAGAGAGGAGAGGCGGATATCCTGGTCTAAACAACAACACAGGTGGATAAAACTAAACATGGACGGTGCTTCTCGTGGAAATCCGGATCTATTTAAGATACTCATAATTTATTTGTTTATTTGTTTATTTTTTTGTTTTATTTATAATTTTGAATTATTTCTATATAATGAAAACTAGGTGATATGCGTGCAACGTGTGCAAGCTATAAAACATTTGATATGTTCAATTATGATCAGTATAGCATTAGAAATACTTCATTTGTATATGATTAATTATGTAATAATAATAAAATTATAAATATTTAATAATAAAAAATGATAAATTAAATATAAAATGTTATAGATTTTAAAATAAAATGAAGATAAAAAATATTAACTAAGATTAACATCTATAATAGTTAAATGTAAATACGATAACTAAATAAACAGGAAAACATTAACATCTATAATAGTTTATTTCATTTTTATTTTTGGCCCGCACACATGCATAATTTTTTTTAAAACATAATTAGTTGTAATATTAAAGTATTGATGAATTTTCTTATAATTATGTAAATGTTATTTTTTTATACATATACATTTTTAGTGTTCAGCAACAATCACACAAACGTTTCCTATCGTTTTGTGTCTTTTGAAATTTTTATATTTCCTAGCGTTTACGGTAACATATAATTGCAAATATAAAAGTTATATGAAATAATAATTAAATTTTTATAATATTTTTTGAATATTATCATACTAAACTTTTTTCTCCTTACATAATATAATCTTGCCAATATATATATATATATATATATATATATTTTAAGTATTTTTTTTTCTTGCTCTATTGCTAATTAAACCAAAATGAATTTCACCATATTTACTTATTCTAAGAGCGGGTAAATGGTTCGTTCGCACATTCGTGTGTACCAACCACCTCACCGCTCTTAGGGCATATAAAGATTTTTAAACAAAATATAAATTGTCTAACTAAAACTAAAATTAAAATGTAATTGAGGTTAACAAAATGTATGCACGACAAATTTACATGCGAATTTGACTTATGCACAATTAATATCTATATCTACACGCATATTTGTAAGAAAATCGAAGTATGGCTTTTATGTGTTAAAAATAATAATAAAGAATATGTTTTGTAATATATATTTTTATAACGTATAGTTGATTTTTTTTAAAAAAATAAGAATATTTATGCATGTAGATATGAGTTAGAAATAATTGAATTGTAATATTTAGGTGTTGGTAAGTTTTGTGATATTTTCTGCAAATGTTATCTTTTTACACGATGCAATTATTGGCGTTTAACAACAATCAGGAAAACCGTTTCTTCTTATTTTTGAGTATTTTAAAATATATGGTTTCTTAATAAAAATATAATAAATATTTATTATAAAGTTTGTGAAATCATATTTTATAAAATTTTCTGGTAGTTCTCCGCTCATCTCTTAGTCAAATATTTTATAATCCGCCATCGCTTGCTTCCACAAACTCTTTGTAATTGAATCATTTAAGCCAATCATCTAAACATATATGTTTATGATTTAAGGTGTAAAATAATATATTTAATATTTCATTGTTATATTAAAAATTAAGAGTTGATATGTTCCTAACTTTAATATATTTGTTAATATAAAATATAATGGATCACAACATATACAAAACTTGTTCATGAAATAATGTTTTAATATGTTTAAAAAATATAAGCATAAAAGAATTAACAAGTGTAATATAATATTTTTAAATATTTTAAATAAATACATAAAATCGATCAAAAATATTCTTATTTATTTATTTTTGTCTTTTTTGACTCATATTTTTTTCTTAATATTTAATAATATGTTTAACATTAAGATCATCTCAAATGTATTTTTCTATTTTTCCTCTAAAATATAAGTAAACTTCTCTCCAACCTATTTCTATTTTACAGAAAAAAAGAAAGATTATTATTTTCCTCTATAATTGAAGGAAAAAGTAACAACCTTTTTTTTCTAAATTAGAACATTTAAAATAAAGGTGAGTTGTAGATTTTTTAAATCAAAAATATTACATGAGATTTTTACATAAAATCAAAATCGTAAAAATTTATTTTTACTTTTAGTTCTACTTTTTATTCATATATACAATATTATAATAAAAAAGTTGGCTAAGAGGATACTTATTATTTCTTTTTCTCTCTGTTTATTTTTTGTTTCATTTATAATTTTGAATTTTTGCTATATAATGAGAATTCATTCACATATGATATAAACTTTGTTTTCTTATTTAAAAATAAGATTTATTTAGTTTTAACTTAACCAATCAAAACATTTCGTTTATTTTATGAAATTTGTCATGTCACATTTATGAGGTGGCATGGTAATGTAAAACTTTGTTTTCTTATTTAAAAATGAGATTTATTTAGTTTTAACTTAATCAAACAAAATATTTTATTTATTTTAGAAAATTTGCTATATCACATTTATAAGGTGGCATTGTTTTGTACTAATTTTTTTTTCAGGTGTTGACACATAGAATTTTTTAGTAAACATATTTTTCAAATAGTAGTTAGGATGCATTTACATATACTGTAATTTTTTTTTATTTAAAAATGAGATTTATCTAGTTTTAACTCAATTAATCAAAAATATTTTGTTTATTTTAGAAAATTTGATATATTATATTTACAAATTATTATTAAAATATACTATTTTTTCTTTGGTGTTGATAAGTAAGTTTTTTTGACTAGGAGATATGATATGTGATGATGATTCTCATATTTCATTTTTAATATATTACTCTATATAACCTTTATGCTATTTTTCTCCCATACCTTCCCTATTAATCCCACGGAATCATTCTCGGGAACCAAAGTTTAAACTTCTTCTCCGCCGGGACTCGATTAATCTTCTTCCGATTCAGTTCAAACAAGACATCGCCGTTGCCATCGCAACCGCCTTAATCCAGGTTTGATCTCAGATTCTCGATTGACTTTTCTTTCCGTCTATCTCCATAAGTGAGTAAATTAGACATTTTTTGGATCGTCTTTATCGAAATCCGATCTGGGAATCCACGGATGAACATAATCTGATTCTCGCTCTCGTGAAAACTCCAATTTGGGTCAAATCAAAACTGTATCTTTAGAGGTTTCTTCCAAGAATAAGTTTTTCTCCCCGTGGAAATCAAAGAAAGATTCAAAATTTGATTACTAACTACGATTAAGTTTTTGGTTATCATATGAAAAATCCAGAGACATGGGAGCATTCGCGTCGAGGTTTTGGTTCATGATGTTCCCTGCAAAAGAGTATAAGATAGTCGTTGTTGGATTGGATAACGCCGGCAAAACGACGACGCTTTATAAGCTTCACTTGGGTGAAGTTGTCACCACTCATCCTACTGTAGGCAGCAATGTCGAAGAGCTCGTTTACAAGAATATCCGCTTCGAGGTACCCAAAAACTTTCTTGAAAAAAAAAATCAAATCTTTGTTTCCAAAATTCTTGGTTTTATTGCAAAGTCATATAGATTTGGAATGTTTCTATGTGTTCTTCTGTTGAATTGGATTCTCTGTTTATGTTTCTGTCATCTATGTAAACTTATTCACATTGGTACAAATTTGGTCAATTCAACGGAAACAATAAGAAACCATTAGGCAATTCTATGTTCTTGCATTGCTACTTGTCCATAAACTAAGGTTTTTGAGCTTTGTGTAAGTTGGTGAATTGCTTCTTACAGTTTTTGTCTTCAGGGTTTGATTTCATTGTAAGAACATAGAAATGAAAGTTTGCATTTTTTTACATAGATTCGAGTGTTTCCATGTGTTCCTCTGTTAAATTGGATGCTCTGTTTCTGTTCTTGTCATCCATGGTTTTGAAAAGCTTCATCAGAAGCTCAAAGTTTTGAACTTTATTCATATTGGCACAATTCTTATTATGCTTCTTACAATTTTTGTCTTCAGATTTGATTTCATCAGGACAATGAAATGGAAGTTCGAATGTTTCTACGTGTTTCTCTGTTGAATTGGATGCTCTGTTTCTGTTCTTGTCATCACAACCTCAAAGTTTTGAACATATTCATATTGGCACGATTCTTTCCCGTGTGTATATGTTCTTGCGTTGCTACTTGTGCACAAGCGCTTTGCAAATCTTAAGCTGATGCATTGCTTCTTACAATTTTTGTCTCTTCAGGTTTGGGATCTTGGTGGCCAAGATAGGCTAAGAACATCATGGGCAACGTACTATAGAGGAACAAACGCTGTGATCGTGGTTATCGATAGCACGGATAGAGCCAGGATCTCTTTTATGAAAGACGAGCTTTTCAGATTACTCGGGCATGAGGATCTTCAGAGCTCGGTCATACTCGTGTTTGCAAACAAACAGGACCTGAAAGACGCTATGAGCCCTGCTGAAATCACGGACGCGCTTAACCTTCATAGCATCAAGAACCATGATTGGCACATTCAAGCAAGCTGTGCAGTCACTGGAGAAGGATTGCATGATGGGCTTGGTTGGATTGCTCAGAAAGTGACTGAGAAAGCTCCAACTTAAAGAGGGAAAGTCAAAAAGTGAATCACAGAATGAAACTTCCTATTTTCTCTTTTATGTTTTATTTAACATTTCTCTTATACAGTGTATCGATTCCACTCTTGATGTAATGAGTTTTATCTATTTGGTTTACGCTGATTGAATTGTATGTATTTCTCTTATGCAAGAAAAACCTAACCATCTCAAGATTGAGATAAGTTTTAAAAGTCATTCTTATGGGTCTGAAGCAGGTTTCTAAACAATGGTTCACCCAGGGTTACTGGTTCTGCTATCTTGAAAGTCTAGTTTATGTCGATGGCATTGTGGTAGCAACGCAATGATGACAATGTTCAACTGAAATCATGTTTTTAACCTCAGAGCTCTTGGTATTTTACAGTATTTTCTTGGCTTTGAGATTCCAAGATCTGCTGCTAGCATTTCAGTTTGTCACACACAAGTCTCTTGAGTTGCTTCTTATTAGGTAGCAAACCATCATCAATTCCAATGGAGACTAAGCTGAAGATGTTATGATGGAGAGACATGCTACCTGATCCAGAGTGTTATAGAAGCTAAGCATTTCTTTTTCTTTTTTTTTCTTTACCGCAAATCTACAATTTTCAAAGAGTAATAAAGTGAAAGTGAAGGAAATATTTTCCCATACCTTTTGTTTTGAATATTTTTGATACTCGAAATTCAAGTCATAAAAAGTTGAATCGAAATTATATTCAACCGATTTTGCTGGTCCATATTGATTTGCTACCTCTAATTGTTTTCCTAATACTTTATTTTATCGTGCTTATGAACGTATAATGCAGACGATAGGGTCAATTATATTCAGCGTAGCTAAAAAGGCAATATACATGCATTTTCCCTATTGTTAGAATACCAGATTCAATGGAAGTCTCTCCTAAAATCTTTCTTACCAAGACCAAGGGATGTTCCGATTCTGAATCTTCTGATTAAGATTTTTTAGCAGTAGATATTCTTATTAATTGTATATGATCAGTGACTTGGAAACATTTCAATCAAATTTATCAAAAACAGGATCACACATTATACAACCAATACCTAAAAAAAACGGGAAATTAGTGGTATGATCTCTAATTAAATCTCTTGGTTCATAGTTATTTTTATCTTTGTTTGACGAAAAGATCATTTAAACCACCATAAAAAAAAATTAGTGGTTTTTTCGTTTTGTTACAACTTACAAACAAAACAAATTGTGTTTTTAATTCATCTTTTATCAGATATTTATTACACGATGAAAAAAAAAAGAAAAAAAAAAAGAGCAACACCATAAAAATGAAACGGAACGGGACATTTGTCGACTTTTAAGTAATGGTATGGCTTGGTATAACACTTTCAATGCTTTTTGTCTCCATGTTATCTAACCATTACAGCTGTGTCGACACTACTACACATTTATGTTTATATCCTGTATAAACACGTACCTACACGTACAAGTATTTAAGAGTTTTTGTTTCTTTCGTTTTTTCTTTTTTTTCAACTCAAAGTTCAATTTCCTTAATCCAAAAGACTATATGAATATTAGAATACATCTCAGGATTATCAACCTCAACTAACGGTTGTAATCAAGTTGGAACATCAATTCGTAGCTTTTCCAGACAAAAAATATACTTTCCATATGACCATAGTTTTTTTTTTTTTTTTGGTATGATATATGACCATATTACACTCGACTAAGAACCTTTGTATTTAAACTCATTTTTAGCTTTAAATCTTTATTAGCTTCCTCTTGTTTTGAATCTAACGTTTTAAGGATTCTAACTATTCATTTGGGTGATCATGAAAAGTGTCGGTGGACATTTTTGGGTGTTTTGGGTGATGTTCATCACATTTTCTTGGTTAAAGTTATCAGACATTTAAAAAAAAAAAAATCAACACGCAATTTCACTAGTATTGTAGGAGTATCAAAAATTAAAAGAGTATTAAAAATTAAAAACATATAATTATAACTAATAACGGTCGTCGACGTTAGACTTTGATAATTTATTCAAAATTTGATAACGCAATTTAAACCAATGTTCCAGAAATTTGGTAGACGACTCATAAAAAAAATCGTTTTTATTCTGTTGATTGACTTTTTAATCAATCGATGTGACCGAAGCATCGGGATGATTTGTGCCGTTTAAACAGTCAAATTTTAGAGCAATACAGTTGTATTCTACTGCTGATGATTACAACTGCATTATGCATATATAACTATAAGTATGATTTATTTTAGCAAAAAAAATTAGTATTAAGTATGATTTAAATGTTAACTCGAGACGAGCAACGGTTATTATATACAATTGGGTCATGTGACTAGAATTAAAATTTTCAATTCAAGAGTTCTACAAACCAAAAATTTAAAATAATTGTACTTTTTTTCGGAAAAAATAATTTAAGAATTGAGTTAAGGGTTTATAGTAGTTGAAAAAGTACATGAGTCCAAAGTAGAAAGTTCTTGTCACGACTCTACAAATAGACCACAAATCAGAGTTTCATCAACTACTTCAAACCTTGAGCTCTCTCTTCTCTCTCTCTCGAACCAAAACTCCCAGAAAACAATGGAAGAGACAGCACTGACAAAAGATCAGATCACTGAGTTCAAAGAGGCCTTTTGTCTCTTCGACAAAGACGGCGACGGTTCTCTCTCGTTCTCTAGATGAATATATAATTATGAAGAGTGATATGTATACTGATATATATTGTTGTTTTGGAATCCAATAATAGGTTGTATAACGGTGGAAGAGCTTGCAACAGTGATCCGTTCGTTGGATCAGAATCCGACAGAACAAGAACTTCAAGATATCATCAATGAGATCGACTCTGATGGTAACGGTACCATTGAATTTGCTGAGTTTCTCAACCTCATGGCCAAGAAACTTCAGGTTCCTCTCTCTTAATCCCCCTCCCCATATTACATACAAGCGTATTTTGTTTTTTAAAATATAATATATACTATTCACAAAATTAGTTATTCAAAGTGAAAGACATTTTCTCTATAACGCTTCTGATTCATTGTGAGCTGTCCTCATTCATTAATATGTCTTCTAGTTTTTTCAAATGTTAAAAAAAAAAAAAAAAATTGGAAACGTAAAATGTTTTTTTATTACATCAAGTGGTTTCCTCTTTCTATGCTTTTACGTGTTTATTACCAACAAAATCTGATTTGTGAAGAACTACATGTGTTCATATTTTAAACAAAAACATTTTTTATCTTTTATTATATGTAATTTATGTTTGGTATGGTGGTATAGGAAAGTGATGCAGAGGAAGAGTTGAAAGAAGCTTTCAAAGTCTTTGACAAAGACCAAAATGGTTACATCTCTGCCAGTGAGGTCCGTGACTCTTATTGCTCTCTCTCTCTTTTTTAGTGTTATTTTAAACATTTTGAAGCCGTCTTATATATATATATATATATATATATATCTGATCTCTCTATTATTTTAAAGTAATTATTTGTTAATTAACATCATCCCATTTCTCTCTATTTATGAGTTTTTATAGTTAGTAATATGCTTGATTAAAAAATTATATATACAAATTAATTCGATGCACTGGATTGCGTTTTGTACAACGTTCTCAAATAATAGCATGTACGGTCTAACTAACGGTGTCTTTTATTTAGTTATAAATGATTAGAGAGCCATAATTATATACTCCTTTCATTCCAAAAAATTTGATGTTTTAGAAAAAAATTTTGTTCCACAAAGTTTGATTTTTTGGATTATATATAATCTATTTCTTTTTTCGAGAACACTTTATTTTTAAAAAGAGAGAATATATATTAAAATAACTAATATAAAGGAATATTAAAATGAAAAAAGTAACTAAAAAGAATAATTAATGATTACTTCTTAAAACTTGTGAAAAATCTAAAAAAGTAGATTTTGTGTCTACTATATCCTTATCTAAATTGGGTTTTTTATCAAATTAATTTACGGTACATGAACCAATTACATAAATGGTTTTCTCTGCTTTAGTGGTACATGCTCTATATCTCTAAATTGTCAAATCCAGGCTAAGCATCATAATTATTGACCCACTTGATGAATTAATTCTGCATTAACTAGATAAATGATAAATCCAGCTAAACCATACTTTGAAATATTTTGAATCAATGACAAAAATCAGACAAAAAGGCCAGACAATCTCCCAATTAAAAGAGATCCATACTTGTCTTATTTATATTCTAAACATATTGTTGATAAAATAATAACAAGACATTGAATATACATATTCATAAAAATTTATCTTTTCGAAATTCAGTTTTCCATCGTGAAACCTTAGAGCTAGCTGGCATTGTGAATCTTTGGAGAAGAACGAGGAGGGACAAATAAAACAATTTACAGAAAATAGTTAGATAGAGTAAGCTGCGTTTGATTCTATAGGTTTATTAGACAGAGTGCACATGTTTCACATAGTTTAGTTAAATATATATTCCTTTCTTTACATCCTCAAAAGTTACATTAATGCGTATACTTTTTAATATATGCACACTTTTGCATGCACACATCCAATAGGCAGTTCTATACAAATTTATTATATAAAATGTTTTTATAAATCTACTAATAAGTATTCTGAGCAGAAGATTTCACGTTTCTCTAAATCGTATGGCCATGTTCAGCCCAAAGCCAGCTATTTTGAACAGAGTGTTAGAAGAGATCAGAATATATTCAAGTTTGGTTTGACCTAACTAATGTGCTGATTCAAAAAAGAAAAAAAATTATTAGTACTCTCTCTATACCGGTTTGATTGACACGCACAATTTCATTTATATACTTGGTCAATCGATGGTGATAGCTATATATATAAATTATATAATAAGTTTTTTTTTTTGTTGCTACGAATAATAAGTTAGTTTATTTACTAATATCAAGAGCTTTGTTATTGCAGTTAAGTCATGTAATGATAAATCTAGGGGAAAAGCTTACAGACGAAGAAGTTGAACAAATGATAAAGGAGGCAGATTTGGATGGTGATGGCCAAGTCAATTATGATGAATTTGTGAAGATGATGATCAACATTGGCTAGTTACTTTTACTATTATTATTATTATTATTATTATTATTATTGTATGAGTTATAAAAGAAAATTTTCCTTAATTACCTTGTTTTTTGCTTAACTCCTTAATTACATTGTTAGTTTGTTACTCCTTTGTGTTTACAACATCTCAACAAATTAAATTATTGTAAAATCATTGAAGCTTTCAGATTCCGTTTGTTTTATTTGTTTTTGAACCATTCAGATCCAGTTTAATCTCTATAACTTGATAATACACATCTTTTTCTCCTTGTCTCAATCTTTGAAGATGTTTCACAAGCTGTTACACAATAAGAAAATGTAGTAAGAAAATACATACCCAGATTTTATTCAGTAAGGAAAATATAAATACAAATTAAAGGCAGTAAAAGTGTAAAACTTTTCCAAACTTTACCAAAACCCCTCAAACAGAAAAACCCAAACCACACTTTCATTTTAGTTTCCTCCCAATTTCCCAAAATCACAATTAAAAAAAAAACCATCAAATCCCAAAATCATTCATTTTTTTTTCTAATTTGTTCAATTCATGGCAGTGGCGCAACAAAGGCATGTTCCCAAGAGCGAAGATTTGCTCCGTTTTCTGACTCTGCCCTTCATCGAATCCAACGAAGCTTTCTTGTCCAACAAGTTGTCTCCTGAGCCCTTGGTTTCTTCGAAGCCATCATCTGCTTCAAATCTCTCACCGGGTTTCATCGACAACCCTAGAGACAACTCAAAGCCTCTTGTTTTCTCAGTCTCACTTCTCTTCAGCATCACAGTTTTCTCTTCCACGTCTGCCTCGTATGTCTCTGTCTTGTCCTGACAGAGTAACTGAGTTTTCTCTGCTGATTCGTCGCTTCTTTCGTCATATTTCAGATCATTACCAAAGCTAGGAGAGCGCATCTCAAGTCTACTCTCCTTGCTGCTTTCAGTTATCGCTTCAGTAGTTACTTGCGCTTTGTTGCTTCCTGCGCAAGAAACAGCCGGAGTCTCAGTTGTGTTAGCTTTCTCGTCCTGCAAGTTTTCTCTTGAGCCCTTGGTTTCTTCATAGCTATCATCTGATTCAGATCTCTCCATGTGTTTCATCGATAACCCTAGTGACAACTCAATGCCTCTTGTTTGTTCAGTCTCACTTCTCTTCAGCATCACAGTTTTCTCTTCCACGTCGATTGTTGCCTCGTATGTCTCTGTCTTATCCTGACAGAGTAACGGAGCTTTCTCCGTTGATTCGTCGCTTCTTTCATCAATTCTCAGATCATTACCAAAACTAGGAGATTGCATCTCAAGTCTAGATTCCTTGCTGCTTTCTGTTATCGCTTCAGTAGTTACTTGCGCTATGTTGCTTCCTCCTACACAATCAACAACCGGAGTCTCAGATGTGTTAGCTTTCTTGTCTTCCAAGTTTTCTCTTGAGCCCTTGGTTTCTTTGAAGCTATCATCTGCTTCCGACGTCTCCATGTGTTTCATCGACAACCCTAGAGACAACTCAATGCCTCTTGTTTGCTCAGACTCACTGCTATTCAACATTATAGTTTTCTCTTCCACATTGATGGTTTCATCGTATGTCTCGATCTTGTCATGAGAGAATAACAGAGTTTTCTCTGTGGACTCATCGCTTCTTTCTTCGACTCTTAGGTCACTACCCAAGCGAGGAGAACGCATCTGAATTTCAGCGTGCTTGTTGCTTTCAGTTATCGCTTCAGTAGTTTCTTGTACTTTGTTGCTTCCCTCGCAAGAAACAAGTAGAGTCTCATACATGTTAGATTTCTCTAAACCCATCTTGTTTCTTGAGGGTAACACCTCTGAAACCAACCGTTGAACCAGAGAATCTTCCATAACTTTAGTATTGTGGCTCACTGGGAGTGATCTGCATCTAGACATGCGTTTGAGACTCGCTTCTCTTCCTGATTCCATGTCCCCTTCCTTATAAACTTCAAGACCAGCTTCTTGAATCACATTTGATTCTTGCGAACCAAAGTTAGAGATCACTTGATCTGCTTTTTCTTCATTAGTAACTTCTTCTTCATCATCAAAACTGCGACGGTCCAGATTCAGAGTCTCATGTGCCTCGATCTCCTGTTGCATGCCAGTGTCTTGATCGAGCTTTGCAACTACCTCTTCAGGAACAATTTCTTCCAGAGTCTCATTGATAATATTCTCCTCCTCTGTTCTAACAGTTTCGTACAAGCGTGGAGATACAAAGGCAATCTCATCAATCACAGAGGGCTTCTCTTCATTGAGAAACTCTTTCGTGTTCAATTTGCTCGCAACACTTTGATCTCCAATCATAGATAACTCTTCCACTTCTGCCGCTTCACAAACAGCCTCGGCACCTATTGATTAATAGAGACATGATCTCGTTAAAACAAACACAAAAAGGCCTTAAGGTTTTCTTTCCAAAATATGAAGAGAAGAGAGAAAGATTAGTCAGATGAAAACCTTCTGCAACTGATGTCTGTTTCTGGAGCTTCTCATCGGTTTCTAATACCAAGCTCTCCAGGCCATTCTGATGCATCTCTTCTTCGACATCTTTCACTTTCGTATCTTCAACTGATTCCTTGTTTTGTGGTTCTGTTTCTTGGGTCCCTTTACCTGCAAGAAAAACCTGATCTTGCGTGGTCTCTATGGAGACAGATTCCAACGTAGACATTCCATTTGTTTCTAGCTTTGAGCTCTCTTCTTCTGCAATTACAAAGACAAATATTTAGTGAAAATCATAAATGAAATAAAACAAAAAGGCTTTGTTGTTTTGCCTGTTAAACTGGTTGTTGCGTTGTTGTTTCCCATATCATCTCCTTTGTTCAGTTTTCAATGAATCAGAATCTCTGAATAAATCTGAGAAACTGAAACAGAGAGACTCACAGAGCAATAGGCTTCTAGCTGAAGGAGAGGGTTCCAAAGTACTGTTTGTGGTTTTCTTAACTAAAGCATCTTTGGAATTTTATTAATTTTTGTTTTAAGTTAATTAAATGCTTTTTAGTTGGCGTCACTTTGTTTGGAGACCCTACACAACATTATGAGTCCATATGATATGTAAATGTTTATCGTAGGGCAGGCACTTCTAGTTTCTAAGTTAGAAGCAACATTATATATATTTTATTGGACCATCAAAGTAAGGTCCAACCTGTTGAATTAGAACTTTTGGCCGTACTTTACTGTTTCAAGATTACTCCACCAAATCTGTAGATAATATTCGTATTGTGAATGAAAAACCTTGATCAAAATTTCAAAGAAAAAAACCTTGATTAGTATCCATGCTAATATCAATTTTTTTAATTGAAAATTGAATATATGATATAAAAATCTAGAAACCAAAGTAAAAAATAAGGATAAAGATATGATAAGAAGAAATTATCATAAAAATAAGAGTAATTTTGTACCTATAAATATTTTTTATTTATTTATGCCCATTTATAATCAATAAGCAGAATTTATAATATATAAAAGTTGATGGCATAGTGCATTGAAGACGTCTATATAGGACAAAAAAACTTAATCTGATTGATCAACATCATCGTTTTTTCATTAATCATAAAAATGTTAAGTATGATTAAAGTGAAGAAATTCAATATGATTGATCCACATCGGCGTTTTTCATTAAACATAAAAATGTTAAATTTGATTAAAATATTACAAAATCAATTTCTATTTTTTTTAAACACTAATTTTGTTTTATATATGAAAAAATCAAAATAAAAACCTTAAGTAACAAATAGAAAAGAAAATAATATTAAAAAAAAAAAATATATATATATATATATATCCTTCAAAATTAAATGAAAATATAATGTCAAAAGAGTTAACCTAACAAAAAAAACCAATAAAGTAAAAGATAAAACTTAAAATATAGATTAAGAAAATTTCTAACTTCTAAATTAATTGACAAAAAATAAAAAAACATTAATTTTATTTTATAGATGGAAAAATCATAATAAAAAAGCTTAAGTAACAAAGAGAGAAAAAAATATGTTAAAAAAAACTAAAATATAGTATCTTTCAAATTAAATATAAATTTAATGTAAAAAGAGTTAAACTAACAGAAAAAAAAATTCAATATCGTAAAAGCAAATTAACTTAATATCTAAAACAAAGAAATTAACTTGAAAATTAATATAAAAATATATTTAACAAAAAAGCATTCACATAAAAGAAATTAAGTTAATGTCTATGCTACATATTTTGAAAATCAATAACAAAAAAGCTTAATAAAATAATAATAAGTACTAAGTATATCAAGTATATAAAAAAAATGTATAAGTTAAAACAAAATATAAAATTACTATCAAAAGATGTAAAGTATAAAAAAAATTATTAAAATGAAAATAATTTGAAATTAGAAAGTGCCTATGAAGACCATGAGAATAACATGCGAATATCAAGAGACGGAGGAAGAATATTGTAGTAGGTGGCTCAAGGTCTATGGAAACAATAAAGAAATTATGTGCTAAATAAGGCTTACAAGTTTCTAATAATAGTTTGCCATTGTGAAGATAATATTAATTACATTATTTTATTCCGGTAGTAAGTCGATTGATAATATACAATGAAAATTTATTTATTCATGCTGTAATTTTATATTTTATCCAGATAAATATTTGTATAAAAATTATATCAGCATTTCATACCAAGTTCGAAGAAATGGATTTGGATGATATAAAAATAAAAATATAATTTATCATGTTGAAAAAAAGTTATAATTTTTATAAGTATTTATGATTGTGTTTATGTTTTTTTCGACAAAAATGTTGAAGGAACTACTGACTATTTGACATGGTAAGTACACTCTTATGCATATACCTGCTATACTTTAATTCTCTACTGTGAAATTTTTAAATATCAAACCAAACTGTTTTAAGGCTATTATGATATAATGAGAAATTAAACATGTTATTATAAAAAGTTTTTTTAGCTTTCAATATATTATAAATTTATGTTTCAATTTTTTTATAAATTTTATAAATGTTATAAAAAAACATAAACATTTATAATATTTTTATAACATTTTTATAAATATTTATGTTTTTTTAGCTTTCAACATGTTATAATTTACTAACTTGATATTTGGGCTAATGTTTTTAATAATCAACATAAAAAAATTAGCTAAAAAAGTGATGCTATAAGATTTTGAGAAATGTTCATAAAAAAAATAAATTGAACAGTTAAAACATGTTAAATGAGCATTATAACTAAAATAAAATTAATATAAAAAACAAAATGAACAAAGAAAAAATTTTCGTATAAAAGAAATTAACATGATGTCTATGTTACCTATTTTGTTAGAAACAACAAAAGAGCTTAATAAAAATAAATATAAGTCATAAGTATATCAAACATACAAAAATAAATTATATAAATAAAAATAAAATATAAAATTAATATCAAAAGATGTAAAGTATATAAAAAATTATAACAAAATTAATTTGAAATTAGTTTCAAAATTTTTATAATTTAACAATAAATAACTATCTAAAGTTGCAATAGGTTTACATAAGTAAAATATACAATGATTGATATACTGGGTGTTTCAGATTTTAAAAACTAACAAATAAAAACACAACATAAATAACCTTACATTCAAATTGTAACAAGTTCTAAAATCTGATTTTTATACATAGTCACTACTTATATCTGAACCAACATTAATAACATATGAGTAACACGTTCTAAAATTATGTTTAAATAATAAAATATGAGAGAGTTATGAATCAAACTCAAATTGATATTTGTAGATAAAATATTCAAATCAAAGCATACAGATTTTTCACAAAAGATAAAAATAGTAAAAAATAATACGAAGACTTCACAACGCCGATCCTACAAGTATAAAAACTAAAATTATCAAATATCATACTGCAAAAAAATAGATATCAATGAAAACTGAATAACGATAAAAGCTAAAACTCATGGATGACCTGATGAAGAAGGAAGAAATGGCTTTGCATGATCATTGCAACTTCCTAACAAAACTAAATGCAAATCAACATGAATCATGGATTATAAATGCATAGGTACACAACATCACATTCAATAAAAAAAAAACTAAATGTTTAAACACATAAACTTTAAAGAAAAAAGAACTGTAGAAATCCTATGAAAACCAAAACAAAATACCAAGATCTTAGCAAAAAATATTTATCTAAATCAAACGTATGTGTATGTCAAAGTTGGATAATTTGATAGGTGTTATTGTTATGATTTCACATAATAAAATTTAAAATTTTATAAATAAAAATAGGAGAAAACTACATATTATATTTTAATTTCTCTTATATAAAAGATTTTTTTTTATAAATCTATTATACTTTTGATAATTTACAAGATAATATTTTTTTTAAAAATAAACTAAACTATTAATAGCGCGAATTATAAACCTAGTTTGTAATAAAAAAGGGTGTGGGTAAACATCATTTTCTATATAGGTTTGGTAAATAGTCTTTTTTTTTAATTTGAAGATTAAAAAAAAATCTTTTTTTGTGTGTTTTTACAACTTTCATGTACACTGTCAAATTTGAATTCAAATTATAAGTCGACAGCCATACAAATATTTTAAATTTAAATTTCAGCTACTCATATATTTTTTTAATTCTTACTTAAAACATAGAATAAAATATTGTATTAGTACTGAACATACTACCAAAAAATTATACATTTAAATTCAAAATCCTAGGTATATCTCATAATTACTGGGGGCTTCCCAAAAAACTGATCTCTAGCCTCTATATTAGTAAGGGCATGAGTAATGGAGTGCTTTTGAGAAGCTCTAAGGGAAAAAAATAAATAAAAAAGAATTTTTTTAGTGATATGGTGAGACCAGTGCTGAGAAGCGCCTCTCTGCACAGCGATTGAAGGAGCGATTCTACGCTGACGTGTCAAGACGTGGTTCGTCAATAATTTTTTTTTTTTTTTAAATCGACATTTTTAGAAAAATAAAAAATTTAAAAATAAAAAATTTTGAAGAGTTTTTTGCCCAGCTCTCCATTACTCATGCTCTAAGGAGGCGTATTTAACATGAACTCTATCAAATCTGTCATAATAAGTGACGGACAAGACATAGCAGACACTCTAACTCATCGCACGAATTAAGTATATGAACAGGTAAACAATTTCGTAGGAGAAGGCCTACTCAATAAAACATGCGAAGCCAATAAAAAATCAGACTAAGCAGTATAAATAAAACTTCATCATTCATAAGAAGGAAGGTCGGTCAATTGGTCAAAAAAATGAAAGATTATGGTTAGAGAAATAGACCATACTGATAATAGAGGAGGATCATCCGATGAGTCTTCAAAAACTTTGTTGGATCCTAATCCCTTTGGTTAGGGTGTCTAAGAGCTCACACATGACATTTTCAAACAGACTGCAACTGCTCCCGAACACTTCAACCTCTCTGGAGAATGTGCTCTATGAGGTAAATTCATCTTCATTATATTATTCTATTAGCTATGAGAGAGTTCTAATTCCCTCTTGCAACATCTTATAATTATTCCGATCACTCCGTCGAATATCAGATAGATATTATGATTTCCAGACATAGTATTTAATCTTAAACCTATTTAAAACCTACTTTTGTAAACACTTGTTTTCAGTCGGATATTTCTAATTTAGACGTTAGAGAACTTTTAGAAGAAAAATCTCTTTCCTATTTTTTTCAGGGACTAATTGACTATTTATTTAGTTGAT